GATGCTTTCCTCTTCTTAGTGCCTCAGGTTTTGGGAAAGGAACCCAAACTAAGCATGTAGCTGCCCTCTCCTCTGCTTGGCGGGGGTTTGCCATCCTAAACCAGTTCTTCCTGTCCAGCTGGGAGCATTCTCCTGATCTGCCTTCCTGCCACTCCCTCCTGGCCAATTAAAGACACCCTTGTTTTGGGAGTGGGGTTGGGCAAAAGTGTTGCTGCCCAGGGGCTCTGCCCCTGAGTTGGCTCCAGGCCCAGGCAGTTTTGGGGAAGTATCACCCACCCACCAAGTGTGTTTCATCTTAAAGACATTTCTGGTCTGCCTGAGAATTTTCTCCTTGATTACCCAGAAGTTGGGGCCAAAGTCCAGGGCGTCTAGGACCCTCGAGTGGCCAGTGAGAACTCTTGGGACTTCTTGGGAGCCCACTGAGTTTCTAAACACCCAGGAAAATATTTGAATCACACTTTGGAGGGCTCCATGAGGTTGGGGGAAGGTCCCTTCCCCTCTCTGGGCTGACATCTGCCACCTGTAAAATGAAGAGTTTGAGCTGATTGGCTTGGAGAGCCTTTCCCAGTGCTGATATTTGATTAATAATTAAGGACTAACTATTCAAAAGGAACTGTGGAAACTATAAAGACATCTAAGGCATTCCCTTCAGGGAATTACCAGACTCCACCGATCCCCCATCATGCACCAACACCCGCCTTCCACGCACACCCAGGGCAGGAACAGCTTTATTTGTTTTAGTGAAATATCTGTCCTATAGTACTCAGGAAATGTTTGTATGGATGAATAAATTCATGCATGTAACTTCACTGTAAAGGTGCATTGAGGCTATTTATTACTAGTATGAATACTGTGCTTATTACTAGTAATACTATGAGATAGGTATTTTCTATCTCTTTTTCATAAGAAACTGACACTTAGAGGAATGCCTTATTGCTTGCCAAGGTCAGAATGATAGTGCAAGATAATCTGATTTGATCGTCCTCAGAGACTATTCCAGATGAGGAGATTTGCTGGGTTTGATGGTAGATACCTTGGATTCTGCTATATTGCTGGGTGACCTTGAGCAAACATACCCTGTGTCTGGGTCTTGTGTTTCCAATTCTAAAATAAGGAGGTTGAACATTTGCCTCCTAAGGGTCTTTCCTGCCCTGAGAGCTCATTGACGAGGGGAGGGGAGCTTTTTTGTCCTCTTTGGTAAAAAGTCTAAACAAGTCACTAACTCGGAAGTGAAGTGGGATGGTAATTCAGCTCCTGGCATCCCCAGTGCCTAGAAACAGGGGGCTTTTCCAAGGACTCCTAGTGCCTGAGGTGGCCTGAATGAGGAGCCAGGGAAGCCAGACTGGGCTCCAGCCCCAGCTCCCTGTTGGGAGGAGCTGTCCTTCAGCCTCCTGGATTGAATGGGTGGATGTGACTTCCAAACATGCTTAAAACTGGGGGAAGGTGATGGATAGGGCTCTGTGAGTCACTGCAGGCTAGGGTAACCTGCCTGAGTCACCCATTTCCTTTCATCCTTAGCTAATAGGATGACTCTGTGGTGAGGGTGTTGGAATACATGTGGGACTTTTACCTTGTCCTTTGGAAATCAACATCTTAGTGTTCCGAGCCCTCCAGGAACATGTGGGAAGTACTTGTCCTAGGCACCTTGGCAAGGTAGCCTCTTGGCCCTCTGGATTTTGATGTTGAAAAGTTTAGCTGTTCCTCAGAATTGGTCTTTAGATCTCTGCCTAGCAAGTAGTACATGTTTTTCCTCCTTAAAGCAAAACTGAGGCTTCTACTGGTGTGAATTCATAGAGCTGAGCTGGTATAGTTCAAGTTTGATTTGACTTCGGATTCGTTCTGTGATGTTTTTGAGGCCTCCTTTTCCTGGGGCTTCCTGGAGGGTGGAAACATTGGTTCTATGTTGGTTAGGCAGATCTAATTCCATCTCTTGCTAAGGACATAACTTTGAACATGCTATTCAGCCTCTCTGAGCTCTGCTTCTTGGTCTGTTAAGATCCGGATGCCAGGCTGGGGATATAGCTCTGCACTGGCTTAGTGTGCATGAGGTCCTAGGTTCTATTTCCAGCACTGGGTGGTGGAGACTGTTGCTTTTGTGGAGAGGTTTAAAGACCACAAAGCTGCATGTAAAGGGTCATAGTCTAGCATAACATAGCATAACATAGCATAGCATAGCATAGTGCAGCAATGGCAAACCTTTTAGAGCTTTCAATGATGCAAACAGCCCACTGCAGCCTGTGCACCATAGGTTTGCCACCACTGATACAGTGCCTAGTGTAGGGCAAGCATTCCGTGGCGACCTTTCCTTTCCTGCCCCAGGGTTCTAGAAAACTCTCTTTCCTCCTCCATATTAACTCCACAAGGTGGAAAGAGAAGAGTCCAGGGTGGGGCTGAGGGAGCCCAAATCTCCTATTTGTTTATCTTAGAAGTGGGCTGTTTGCTAATTATCCCATGGGTTTATATTTAAACAAGAACCAGTTCCTGGAAGCCCCACCTCTCCTGCCAGGATTTATGGGATCCCCATGCTCTGAGCAGCCTGCAGCCTGCAGGGAGAGGGGTTAGAGGGTACCGGGCCACAGAACTTGATCACCCTCCTGTGTTAAGAGGGGCAGGGTTGCTAGTGTAGCAGGCTGAGTGATTACAAATAGTGCCCTGGGTTTTGGGTGGGGTGGGGCAGTCCTGGACAGAAAAGATTCAGTGTTCTGAAAAGGCAGTTTTCCTACATTTTGTATTGCACGGTGCCCCAAGCGGGAGAGAGCACATGTCCACAGTCAGAGGGGTCCGATTTAACCTTAGGAAAATATGAAGCCTGCTTTCTTGGGCTGGTTTGCCATTAACTCACTGGTGACCTTTGGGCATATTCCTGGCTTTGTCTGCTAGAGGCTCAGTTACTGGAAAAGTGGGTACATTTTATAGCCAGAAAACCTGAGTCTCTGTCCCAGCCCAGCCCCTCAAACCGGGGGCACACAGTAAGTTAATAAGTCACTTTGTTGATGTGAGAGCCCTGGTGTCCTCTATAAAACACCTGTGTCACTCAAGGGCTATAATCGGTGTTTGGCAAACTTGTAAAGTGCTGGCTGGAGTTTGTGATTAGCGGCTAGACAAGGGTTGGCCAGAGGTTGGCTTTGGGGAGGTGGTGTCTGCGCCCACATTGAAAATGTAAATGGTTGTTACAGTTCTTGGGGTTCGGATCTTTTATTTTCAGAGGGCTCCAGGACTCCCCCAAAAGATCACTCTGATCTTAACTCTGATCTGTCTACTTTGGTTGCATTCTCTTTCTCTACTTCCCACCCACTTCTGGTGTCCCCTGTTTCTCCCCACCCCCAGCCTGGGCCAGACCCTCTTATTCAGTGCCCCTTCTCTTTACCCTGCAGCTGCCCCTCCCTCGTCCTTCACACCCAGGGAGTGGAGCTGCCCCGGTTTTCTCTGGCAGAGGAGAGGCTGCTAGTCAGGTGACACCTGGGGTAATGGAAAGGGGAGGCAGGGAGAGGCTGGTGTGTGTGGAAACAGTGACTGGGTGAAGCGGGGCGGTGGCAGCCCAGCCTTGGGGACTGGCTACACCACTCAAACTTCAGGGCAGCCAGTGGCTGAGCTGGGCACTCAGAGTGGGAACCTTCCTTGCCTTGGGGCAGCCCAGCCAGGAGCCATTGTGGGACAGACTGAACTTGTCTGGAGCAGTGGCTTACCCGGGTGCTGGGGGAGATTAGGAAGGGGCCGGCACCCTGGTGGATCTAACCTGCTGGGTTAGATCAAGGCTGCTCAGTAGGCTCAAGACTGCTCGGAACACAAGGGGCTTGTTTGCGGCCTGAGAGCCTCTCTGCTGGCTGTGGATCCAGCAGGGATTTCGGATCTGCTGCCTAGATTACAGGCCCCAGCTTCAATGCACCTCTGTCTCAGAGGCCCTGAGGGAGCCAGCCCCTCCCAGCTGTCTCCACTGGTAATCGGAGCAATGCCCAGTTTGCTTACCGGGCCTCAGGACAGAGGGAGACTTGTCTCTTTGAGTTGTGTCTTTTATAGGTGGGGAAACTGAGGCCCACAGAGGGAATCACCCTCGACCACCTAGGGAGTTAGTAACAAGGGTGCTGCGCTGGCTTCTGGTAGGAGTTAGTCCAGAGGTTCCAGAATCCCCTCCCCCCCATTCCTAGCTCAACCCCCAGGATCTTGGAGTCCTTGCTGTGGGAATAGCCTGCCCTGGGGCTTGGTGAAAAGCTGCCTGCTGGCAGTGCCAGGCCTGGCTGTCTTCATAGCGATTGTGTTCAGAGTAACCCGACCTTGGAGTGGGTAGAGCTGACATTTGAACCCTCACTCCACCCCCCCACCACCCCGGCTTAACCCTTTAGGTACCAGAGCACCATTCTAGATTGGTATATGATTTCTTTTTGCCTTCTAGATATTTATTGTCCCCAGGCAAGTCAGGAAATACTCTGTGGATCCAAGTTCCCGGTAGAATTTCAGATGTCTGTGGTCAATGCCAACTACTCTTTTCTGGAAAAGTAACAAATTTTCTCTTTCTCCACATGCTTAGGGCAGGTGCTGAAAGCTGTATAACTTTGAGTAGATCTCTACCGATCTCTGGGTCTTTTTCTCGAGTATCATCTGAAAGGACCTGATTGGTTTTTGAAAGTCTCTGCTCTCAGAAACAAAATAATAATTCATATGGGTTGTGTCCCTCTGTAGCTTACAAAGCACTTCCTCATCTACTGATCAGCTTCTCTCCAGCACTGGAACTCCTTCTATAACTGTATCTGTGTAGCTAACACACCTTGCCTTCTTGACCCTTTGAGCGCTAATCCCTGTAACCAGAAGAAAGGCAGGTGGGGGTTAATGATAGTTACTGCTCACTGAGCACCTGCTGCGTACCAGGGCACCTGCTGAATCCCTTGTACATGTAGATGCACTTCCCTCAATTCTCATCACTTGGCAAGGTGTTAACGGCCCTGGTTACAAAAGAGGAAAATGAGAATTTAAGAGCCATAATACCTCTTAGGCTCATGTAGTTAGGAAGTAGCGAGACCATGGTTGCTGGTGGATCTTGTCCCTTCTGTCAGGCCCTTCAGACTGCGGCTGGGAGTGGGAGTGGAGGTGTGTACTGCGCGCCCTGCCGAGGATCTTCTGCCAGAATCACTGTGGTGGGTACAGCAGTTGGAGCCCACGAGTAATCATCCCCATCCCCCGAATTTGCCTTGCTCAGTTATTACTCTTCTGTTCTTGCTTCTCGAAAAAAGGCTCTGCCTTCCCTGGGGAGGAGGGAGGCTGGGGTAAAGCTCTCATTCCTTCATTCACGGTTAACCAAGCCCTGACCCTCAGCTCCTCCCTGGTACTCCAGCCAAGTTTCTGTTTCTTTGTTTAGGCAATATCACTTTCACCTTTGTTTATTCCTGGGCAAGGGAAGGGATGGCTTAGCGCCCTGGCTTGGGCATTGTCTTGTGGGATATTGGGTTAGGGTGGAGAGGTGAAGAGTACTAAGAAGCCTGGTTGTGGTTAGGTCAAGGTCTTGAGAAAGTCCTGGGTTTGAATCCCAGAGCTGTATGACTTTGGATGAATGACTCAATGTGGTTTTCTCATCTGTAAAATGAGTGTGCACCTTACAGTGCTGTTGGGCCAATTAAATGAGCTCATGTAGAGAGATAGCCCAGCAGGCTGCCTGGCATGAAGTGGGTATTCCTATTTGTCACCCCAGCTTTTGTGCTTTTTCTGGAGTAACAAAAGCTGTAGGACTTTGGGATAGGGTTGGTGACCTTTTCCTAGCTTTATGCTGTAGCCTGAAGGCTGGAGTTACACTGGACAGACAGCTGCTGGCAAGGATTTGCTGAGGACCTTTTGCCAGGACTCTTGCCTCTAGCCTGGGAGCTAAGGGAATAGCTTCTCAGTCCAGCTCTGCTGCCGGCTGCTTGGGTGATCTTGGCGATGTCCTTTGCCTTCTAATCTGAGAGGTTATCATAAAATGAGCCAGTTGGACTCACTGGCTTCAGAGCCCTTCTGTTAGCAGGTGTTAGTCTGTATCTACCCAATCTTCTTTCTCCTGCATTGCTTGGGAGACAATCCATTACTTCTAATTTCACCTAGGCACCAATTCAGGTGCCCACCAGCCACAGGGCAAGCAGGGTCTCTGGGGCCCAGGCCTTATTCAACTTGCGATTTCTGTTGTATGACTATGAAAGGGACAAAGGTGTGGGGAGACCCAAGGGCCGAGAGAGGGTTCCTGTGTGTGTACACACCTGTGAACACAGACACGTGCCTGGGCAGAGACGGGGTGAACTGAGGAGAACAGACCACATCCTTAGCCAGGAGCAGGGCGAGGTCCCTCTGGTCAGGGAGGGGCCTGGCTGCTGGGTGGCCTGGCTTTTCAAAGCCACCTCAGACTGAATGGACCTTGTCTGAAAAGAAGGCAGGGAAAGGAGGCCTGTTGGTGCCTTCCCAGTCCCTACCAAAGAAAAAAAAGCAATTGCCCACAATCCCACGGGACTTGGCCCTGTCTTGATAGCCTTGTCCTAAATGACCCTTCGTCCTAAACTCCCACTTGGGAGTTTCTCTCTTGTCAGAGGTCATGGGCAGAGAGGGTGCCTCTGGAGCTCAAGGAGGATTCAGTTCCCGATGTCCTGCCAGCAGCTCTGCTTCACATGCCCCTTGACTTGCTGTGGGAGGGAAGCCTCCCACGCTCACCTTGCTTCCCTTTTGGGGCTCTGGAATAAGGATCTGATCTTGGCCGTGCCACTGACCTGCTGTGTGACCCTAGATAACCATTCATCTCCTCTGGGACCTGGTGCAAAAATGGACGCAAGGACCTGAGTTCGCTCTCCGGTAACAAAAAAAAAAGAAAAAGAATTGGCCAGGGATTTAGCTCAGTGGTTCTGCCGCCTGCCTTGCAATCACAAGGACCTGAGTTCAATCCCCCCATACAAAAAAAACCAAACAAGCAAATCCCCAGTGTTGTCAAAATGGAGGGTGAGGGATGATGGGGTGCTCACAGGCAGGGCTGAACTGGGAATAATCCTGGCTTCATCTTCAGTCTTGCCACCGTCCTGCCTGCCAGGTCTTCCCTCCCCTCCTTCTCTGAGTCTTTGTTTCTCTAACGTGAAATGGAGGTGATCGCTCACACCGATCAGCGTGCTGATCCCACGGTTGTTTTGAAACACGCCCTAGTACCTTCACATACTAAAAGGCAACGTGGCCTCATGAACAACATTCCGTGGCTCCTGGGGATGAGGCAGCGTAGGAAAGGTTGCTGACACCTGTGTTGGAATCCCAGCCTGTGTTTATCCCCGGGCCTGCGCTGCAACCTCAGCCTCTGGCCTCAGGACTTTGAACTCTGACACCGGCAACCGGTCTGGTTTTCAAGCCAGGTCAACAAACGATGAAAGTCCCTCTTTTCTCTCACTTGGCTACATATGACACATAGCAAGGCTCCTTTCTAGCTTGGGGTAGGTTGACAGCCTTATGCCCATGTGTGTTCACATATGTGTTTATGTGAATGTGGCTAAATCCAAGTGGCTCATGCCTGGGTTCTGGCCCAGCATGGCCACTTTCTGCCCCTGTGGCCTGTAGACAAGTGACTACCTTTCTGAGCCCTTGTTTCTGCCTCTGCAGAAAGGGTCTCTTAAGAAGACCTAGGGCCAGGGATTTAGCTCAGTGGTTCCACTGCCTGCCTCGCAAGCGCAAGGACCCAAGTTTGATCCCTGGTACCAAAAGAAGAAACAAACAAACAAACAAAAAGACCTATGTCATGCCAAGTGACGTAGTCAAGGCCTGACACTGAGTAGCCACAGGGCCCTTGCTCTTTGAGATTCTGAGCTCCAGGGGAATTTTCAGCAGGAGATAGGGATAGGAACACAGGGACCCCGCCCTAGGTACAGCCCCTTGCGTAACTGTGGAAGAGCCTCCTCCCTGCACTGCCAAACCAAAGCCACAGGCACAGGCTGTGTGCGGGGGCTGGAATTCCAGCGCCAGCAGCTCAGCATCAGCTCCTGATTCCGAAGTCATGAAGTCATCCCTAACCAGGGCTTAACCCCTTCTGGCTCTCCACCCACTTGTGTGCCAGGTGCTCCGGAAAGATTCTCCGGCCCCAGGGAGAGAGGGATGCCTCCCCACTGCCTTCCTCCCTGCCTGACCCTTTTCCCTTCTGGGCGTCCAGCACCTGCCTCCCCGGAAGCCAGAGGGGAGAGTTCAGGAAGAACCTGGTTTCTGAGGCGGCTTTCCTGGACCTCTTGTCTCAGGGGCGGATATTCCTTCTCAGAATCCCCGCTGTGTCACTGGCTCTCTCTCCCTGGCTGAAGGACAGCTAGGGCAGTCAGAAACAGGGCTCTGGGCTCTTTCTACTCTGAGCTATGTAGCTAACACTGTGTGACCTTAGGCAATTCGCTAATGATTTGCTTAAGTCCCAAATTCTATGAAGGGGAGGACAGGACCGCCCTGGGGTCTCTAGCTTGTGTTCTGTGGTTCTGAGTGGACCCCCACCTCTTGGAGTTATGGGATCTAGAGAGATGGGGCTGTCTTGTGGGAGTGAAACAATGAACTTTGCTCAAGGTTGTTGAGTGGGCAGATGGAAACTCAAAGCCAGAAGCTAGAGGGTGGGCATCCAGTGCTCCCTCCACTCCTGGGAGACTTCTGTTTTCCACTTACCTGAGCTAGGAAATGGTCCCCGAGTAGTATTCTACAGGGTGCTGGGAAAGTTCTTGGTCTCCTTGGACCTTGGATAGTTTATTTTTGAAAGCTGTTTGGTGGGGGTGGGCCTCAGACTCCCACGACCTGCTAGGTTTCCATAGAGTGGGAACTGACTAACCCCTAGGGGTGCTGGAGTGGGTCGTATGTGAGGGCAGGGACTGTGCCTCTCTGTGCTCCATCAGGCTAGCAGCAGGACAGATCTGTGGGAGATGTTCGGAAGATAACACTGCAGGAGCTCGCTCCTAAGTCACCCACTCTGAGCAGTTCCCTGACCCGAGGCTGCCTTGGGGTGGGAGTGAGCCTGTCTAGCCCAGTCTGACTCAGCTGGTATCCCAGACTGGGCAAGACCAGAGCCAGTAGTCCACTCCCTGCCATGTGTGAATCAGCTGCTACTGCATCATAGGAGCCTGGAGGACAGTGTCCCAGGGCTGCCTTTGTGCCCGGGAACCACTGGCTCTGAAGTCAGGCAGCCCTATGTGCCACCCTCTCTCCCTCTGCCAGCTGTGTCACCAAAGAAAATGATTTAAAATCTTGGAAGCCCAGTTTCCTTGATTGTCAAATAAGTTGACATCGTCTCAAGAGTTATTAAAAACAGGGCTGGGCAAAGAGCTAGTGTTCAGGCAAATGGTACCTGGTAATGTAAATAATTTGCTTATTAGCACCTGTATTATTTTTATCAACCCAGAATAGAAAGAGACTTTCCTAAGGTCAAATAGCAAGTCACAGGCAGAGCAGGATCCAGGACACAAGTCACCGGTCCCCTGAAAGCCTACTTCTATGGTTTGCGGCTGTGCTGTTCTAGAGCACTTACGGGCTATTGGCTGATGCTATTCTTTCTTTATCCTAGATCCGAGAGACTGAGGTCATCGACCCCCATGATCTCCTAGAAGGCCAGTACTTCTCTGGAGCTCTACCTGATGATGAAGATATTGGGGGGCCAGGGCAGGAACCTGATGACTTTGAACTGTCAGGCTCTGGAGATCTGGGTATGGAGGACATGCTGGGCAGCTGGGGGCATGGGCTTGGGGTGTCCCCATCCTAAGGAGGGTGACCATGCTGAGGATTTGGATTGGGGGCGGATTTCCCTACAGTGCCCTTCCTGGCCTCAAGAGGGGAAACAAAAGGAACTGGATTAACCATTTCTATCCCTGAGACTGCCGGGAGTTAGTTGGGTATTGATTTGAATTCACTGACACTCTGGATTCTCTGGCACCAGCCTGAACCTGTCCTCATAGGTTCCTCCCTTTGGTGGAGGGAAGGGTGGGGAAGAAGGCCCCATGGACTGTTTTTCTTCCTTTGGAAAGGAAAAGTAGTACTACCTCAGAAGTGGGGTTGGGCAGGGAGCAACATGTGTAGGCAGAGCTGTGAATGGGGCCCCTGCTTTGGTGGAGTTAGGGGCAGGTGCAGGGACTGAGCCAGACCAGAGCCACTGCCTTTTGTGGTCTTTGACTTCCTGGCCCTGGCCGCTAGGTTAGATAACTGTCAAGAAACCTCCCTCTTATGCTTAGGAACAAGTTAATGATTCTGAGTTTGAACTTTGAAGTCACATAGTCCTAAGTTCAAAACAAAACAAAAATAGTCATGTTGCCAGGTGTGGTGGCACATGCCTGTAATCCCAGTACTCTGAGAGGCTGAGGCAGGAGGATCGCAAAAAAAGCAAAAAAAAGTCATAAATTCAGGGTTTCCTAACTTATACAATGGGAATAATAATGACTACACATCAGTATTGTGGAACTGACCTGAGTCAAGGCTCTTACCAAATACCAAGCACTCAGTGATTACGTTTGTTTTAAAAATAAATTTTATTGTGTATATTTAGTTTTTTGTTTGTTTGTTTTTTGGTACCGGGGATCGAACTCAGGTCCTTGTGCTTGCGCAGCAGGCAGCGAAACCACTGAGCTAAATCCCCGGCCCCAAACCTTTTTTTTTTTTTTGGTACCAGGGATTGAAGCTTGCGTGGCAGGCGTTTTGTTTGTTTTTTGAGATAGGGTCTCGCTATACAGTTCAGGCTGGCCTTGAACTCACTATGTAGCTCAGGCTGGCCTCAAAGTCATGGTGATCCTCCTGCCTCAGTCTCTTGAGTGCTAAGTTTACAGGTGTGCACCACCATGCATGACTCCCTAGCCTTGTTTATTTTTTATTTTATTTTTTTGGTACTGGGGATCAACTCGGGACCTTGTGCTTGCGAGGCAGGTGGTGGCACCACTAAGCTAGATCCCCGGCTCATTTATTTTTTATTTTGAAACAGGGTCTCACTAAGTTGCTCAGGCTAGCCTCGGACTTGTGGTCCTTCTGCCTCAGCCTCTTAAGTATAAATATAGGTTCTCATTTAGTCCACCCTGAAATTCTGCATTTCTAACCAGCTTGCAGATGTTGCTCTTGGCCCTGAGATTCACAATTAACCAGGGTTCAGAGCTGACACAGCACTTGCCTAGCTACCAGTGCATATATTGCTGTGAAAGGGAAGCAGGTCTTAGTAGCTCCATTTTTCAGACTAGGTGACTGAGGTGGAGGTGAGAATGTTCATTTGCTGGACATGGAGAATTTAGGGGCTGGTTATAAGGGAGGACTCCCACCAGCCGTGGCTGAGGGGCTCAGTTACTGGGGATAATGGACCTCATGCTCACACAGCCATTGTGACCTTACAGATGATTCGGGAGACTCCAAGACCATCCTTGAAATAATCCCACCCTTGGTAAGTATGGCACGTGCCCCCTACCTCCTGTGTAACACACACTTGATGAGACAGGCAGAAAATACGGCCCCCAGGGGCAGAATGAGTGAAGGGTGTGGCTCCATTCTGCAAGAAGACTTTCTATCTGGGTCCCTCAGTTCAGTTTGGAACAGGCCCAGTGGTTATGATAATCACTATCAACACCAGCTCCTTTTCTACGCACAGAATAGCTGTTTCCCGGCACTGATTTCCAACTGTATACAGTTCTGTGTACTGCATCTTCCACACAGTGGCCCTGAGTACTTCCCTGCATGATTAAATGTCCTTGTCGTTTTCATAGGCTGTTAGTTCACTTGATTCTCCTTTTGATGGAAAAGTTGTTTATAGTTTCTTGATATCCTGCAGTTATCACACTGCAGCAACTGTTTTCTCACAGGTTTAGCTCTGTAGGATAGAGTCCCAGAGGCAAACTTACTGCCCTAAAGGGCAAGCGGTTTCTAAGGGTCTGGCCCCACCGCCTGGACAGGGTTACTGTAGCATACCCGCCCACCTGTGTAGGGTGGGAACACCCACCTCTCTGTGCCTTTGTTCACATTCATTTCCCATTTCGGACAGATATATTGAAAAAGTCAGGACAAAGATTTTAGAAGCGTAATTTTTAGAAGTTGTTGGTTCCTATTCCAGGACCATGTAGTTCAGTCCACATTCTCTGTCTGAGACTCGCATCCTCTGTCCTCCGTCCATCTGAAAACTTACTCAGTGTTTATGGCTCCCTCTTTTCCCATTCAGGTGCCTCTAGATAACCACCTCCCAGAGAGGGTGGGGCCTGGGAGTCGGGTCCCCCCTGAACCCAAAGAACTGGAGGAGAATGAAGTCATCCCCAAGAAGGTCTCGCCGCTTGACGGGGAGAAGGATGTGTCCAACAAGGTGTCCATGTCCAGCACTGCCCGGGACAACAGCATCTTTGAAAAAACTGAGGTCCTAGCAGGTGAGACTCCTTACTCCTCTGGACAGGTGAGGAAGGAAGAAAAGGGCCTGGGGCCAGGGCAGCTCCCAGGCTCTATGCTGTTGAAAAACTATGTTCCCTTAAGGGTGACTCCACCTACTTGCAGCCTGGTGCAGGGGGAGGAAGAATAGCCTATCAAAGGCTCCTTAAAAATAGGCAAGGAGTTATTCTCAGCCTGAAACTTCTTTCAGCTAAAGCCCTTTCACAGCCTGGGTTTGGCATCAGGGAGTTAATCATTAAACATTAATTTCACTTGAAAGCTTAGAGGCCCCTTAGAATTAGGTTGGCTTTCCTCCCCTCTGCGGCTTGGCAGCCCTGTGACCTTGGCTGAGAAGCTTCTTTTGGAACTAGTTTTGACTCAGTTTCCTCGCCTCTAAAATGGGTATGGCGAGACCTCTTTGAGTTGGTGAAATGAGTCCATGAAAAATAAAATATAAAATTACTTTGCAACTGGAAAGAGCTTTTCTGATTGTTACCATTATCTGTCATTGAATCTTTATTGTCCCTCAGTAGTGGGGCACAGGATATTTTCATGTGACAGAATAGGACAGTGAGGCCTAGGGAGGTTAAATATTTGGTATTTCAGGTAAGAGCTTTTGACTAAGGTGCTGGTATGGGTAAGTGCTGTCCCAGGGTGAGGCTTTAGGAGTGGCTGTATCAAGCCTGGCCGGGGGATCATCAGCTGGGATGGATCCCTAAACCCCTCTCTGCCGCCCTAAGTGTAGGCACCGTCTCCAAAGCTGGTTGTCAGAGGAAGGAAGGGACTTCCTACAGTCTGGTTTTTTTGGGGGGCGGGGGGGTGTCGTCTTTTTTGACAAGGGGACTTGCTGTGTAGTTCAGGCTGACTTTGAACTCACTCTGTCGCCCAGGCTGGTCTCAAACTTGTGGTGATCCTCCTGCCTCAGCCTCCCAGGTGCTGGGACTACAAGCATGGACCACCATGTCTGGCAACTTCCTGCAGTTTTACAGGCTGTAACTGAGGGTCTTTCTGGATGAACTGGATGAGTGGGTGCACACTGCAGGCCCATGCTGGGGACCTCCTGTCTCCTGGAACCCAGGCTGAGCCATCGGCTCTGAGTGGGCTGAGGTAGAGGGAGGGTCCCTAGGCCACATGTCACTGTCCTGTGCATCTAGGCCGGAGGGAGAATGGCACCTGTATCTTGCCAATGAGCTGCCCTTGGAGTAGAGCCCCAGGTGTCTGGTCCTAGCTCAGCCCTGACTTTGGCGTCCTGGTATCTAAGCCAGTGTGTTTTTAAATTTTCCTTCACCACTTTGTTGGTGGGTTTAGGAGGATGGGCCATCAGAAATAGAGGCGCCCTCCGACCACTTAGTCCTAGAGCCTTCCCGTGCTCCCGTGGAAGTGTTTTGGAACTTAACCATCCTCCCCCCTCTTTCGTCAACCACACAGTTTCACTCTCAGCTGGCATAGTTTAGATCTGCCAGCTGCAGCTTTTATCTTTACAGGGTTAGATCTGTTGATGAGGTTTTGCTTTGGCAAGTAAAAGTTCTGTTCCTTCTAAGGAAAAAATTAAAAATCCCTGACCCAAGTCTGAGCTGCTGTTTCTGATTTGTCAGGAGACTGAGGCCCAGGCTTTGGATCTCATAGTAAGAGAAGAACTAAAGCGAAGGCAGCCCCTTTACTCTCTCTCTCTCTCTCTCTTTTTGGTACTGGGGTTTGAACCCAGGCCCTTTGCACTGATCTACATCCTTATCCCTTTTATAACTTTTTATTCTGAGACAGGGTCTTGCTAGGTTGTCTAGGCTGGACTCAGACTTGTGACTCTGCTTCCTCAGCCTTCCAGAGTGCTGGGGGTACAGGCGTTCACCACCACACGTGCCTTCTTTGCTCTTCCGTTTGAGAATTATATCAGTATGAAACCCTTATGAAAAGGTACATTTTCAGTAGCTGAGGTGGCACCCTCCATTCTAGTAGCTTTTAAATAGCACCCGTGAGTGTTATGAAATGCTTGCTATATGCCATATGATTTTTAAGTCCCTCCTATCTATAACAACCTAAAATGGACTCTAAATGATGTGTCCCAAGTCACAAAGCCAGGAAGCTGTGGACCTGGCATTTAGAGCCAAAAGCGCCGTCAACTTCAGAGCCTGTGCTTGGACCTTGTCCCCGTGGGGTCCCAGCAAGGACTGAGGTGTGACAGAGGAGTGGGGTTGTCAGAGGGAAAGGTGATGGAAACGGGAATGGGGCTGACATCAGATATCCCATGTGCTTTTTCTGGCACCTCTGGCAGGTACTTTGGTGCTGCTTTTTATAGGATTTTAGTCAAGAAAGAACCTTTCCAAGCTCCTCTGTGCCACTCCACCCCATTCTGTGCATACATTGGTAATATGTGCAGGGATGGAAAATTAATCTTCTTAGCCTGAGTAAGACAGAATTAGGGGACTCAATCTGCCACAGAAAGGATTCTGTGAGCCACACTTGCCCCTAACAAACAGGAATGAGTCATTCAGGCCACCTGGTGAGGGGGAAAGAACAGATGCTCAGCCAAGGCAAGAAGCCCACCTCTGCCCAGCACCAGCCAGGTGCCCCTCAGTGAGTCAGGTGAATGCCATTTATTAAGGCCCCACTGTTGTGCAGGCCCAGTTCAGGGTGCTGGGGAGGTTTACAGTTCATGAGTCCTGAGCATATGTTCTGCACTGGGCACTGTTCTAAGCTGATAGATTATTTAATCTTTGGGATAAACATGAGAAAGATACTACTGATCCATTTTGCAGTGAGTTCGGCAAGGAGCTTGTCTCAAATCACATAGCCGGTGGGTGGGAGAGGTGGGAATGGAAACCAGCCTGGGTGTACATGGGAATGTAAGCCACCATGTGTGATTATCTGCCTTATAACATAATACATGGACATTGCTGTGTTCTGTGTGTATGTAGAAGGTATATGCCAGTCTAGACATGTGGGCCTAGGTAAGTATCCACACAGAGTGCCTCTGTGCTAAGAATAGGTTTGTCTAACGGGGTTTCTGCAGCCTGCCATTATTCTTGTTCCTGGCTCATTACTAATAAGCTGTTGCCTGGGAATCTGCCTGGTATTTGGAAAGGGCCTGGGCTTTGGACTCAGGGCAGATGTGGGTTGAAATAGTGGCTTTGCCACTTTAGCCCTGTGGCCTTCAATGGCTTATAGTGCCTGGGGACCCCCTTGTCATAATTGAGGTCATGAGGGTCAAATTTAATAGGGCACTGTCCGCCGGGCACAGGCAGTGGTGACGGTGAGGGTGTCTGGCTGTGAGCACCGACTTGTGGGTGCACGAGGGGAGCATGGCCCACGGTCTCAGTGGGGAGGCCCCCTCACTTGCTCTCTCTTCCTCCCAGCTGTGGTCGTGTGTGGCGTTCTGGGCATCCTTTTTGCTGTTTTCCTGATCCTGCTGCTGGTGTACCGCATGAAGAAGAAGGATGAAGGCAGCTACGACTTGGGCAAGAAACCAATCTACAAAAAAGCCCCCACCAATGAGTTCTACGCATGAAGCTTCCCCACAGGCAGTGCTGGGACTTCAGTGGGAAGGGCAGCCAAAGGATTGTGAACGGTGGGCATTAAAGTACGGGGAGGGCACCTTAGGACTGACCTGTCAGTGTCCCCAGCTCTGGTCACCTTTTCAGTGTCAGAAGCCACATCATCTTCTACTGTGCTGCCTCTCTTTTCCTGATTCTTTGGGCCAGAGTTGCCCTGATAGAAAAATGGGGTTAAACTTGGCTTTTCTGAAGGCAAGCTATGGATTGGGTCAGCTTAGAATCTAGAATGTTTAGAAGCCTGTCCTGAACATGCCTCATGTGACAGTGTGTGGGTCCTGGCTAGAGGTCCTCTCCGGCCGCCTTCCTCCCCGTCTCGAAACCTGTCCCTCTGCCAGGAATCAGGAGAAGGAGCTAGAGCCGTCTGCACCCTGCAGTGTGTCTGTCCACAGGTACTTGTGAGCACACTACAGGACTCTGGCATATCTTGGGCCATTAGGGCTCTTTCAAATGATTTTTGGTTATCACCATTTTTTTATTTGGGGAGGGAAGGGAGAAGTGCTGAAAGCTCATGCTGAAATAGATTTGTAGATTATGTGTAAATCTGGTTTTTTTTTAATGGTTCATTCCTTTGTGCAGAGTGTTGCTGCGCAAGTGTGGAGATACAGAGGTGGTCTTAACTCTCACGCATTTCCACGGCACTTGCTAAGTTTGTATTTAACATTTTTGTTTTGTTTTTGTTTCTTGAAAATGAGACAGAGATATGATTTTTATTAATTTTTCTTTCTTTTTTTTTTTTTTTACTATTTATACCTTCAGACAGGGCCTCTCTTTCCTCTTCCTGTTTTGCTTTTTCCTTAAACCCCTTCCCCATTTAAAAAATACTTCACGCTCCCCTGCTTATGACCTCGGCCCTTTCTGAAGCTGATTCATCTGAAAGTAGCTTTTGCTGAAACAGTTTTGTAGCACATCTCAAGAAATAATGTAGATGATGGTGGGGTATTTGTGTCTGTATTCTTGTAATATATTATTATTATCTCGTGGTTCTAGGAAAATAGATCAATATATTTTTTCAGGATATAGTATGATATTTCCAGTCTTATGTGGCTGAGTAAGTTTCTGTGTGGTTGGGTAAGTTTTTGCCTCTTGTTCTTGCCCAGTTCCTGGTGCCTTCTGACTGGGCTGGAACAGTTGAAGGCAGATGATTTTAAACCTCTTTCTGCCTTCTGCTAGGGGCCCAGCTGGGGTCCTAGGGCAGTGGAGGCAAACCTATGGGACAGGGGACACATGCACAGTGGGCTGTTTGTTAGCGCCAGTGAAAGCTCTAAAAGGTTTGTCATCGCTGCCCTAGAGGCTGCCATCTTCACTCTTGGGTGTGCTGGTCAATACGGTCACTGCACGTGTGACTGTTTAAATGAGGTCAGTGCAAATCACATAAAATTAGGAATTTGTTCCTCAGTTGCACTGACTGCATTTCCAGTGCTCAATTGCCACATGTGGCTCATGGCTACTTATTGTCCCTACTGGGAGAACATTTCCACCTATGGGATGCATTGCTCTAGAGAACTAAATGGCTTAGCAAGTTACAGCTCAGCTTGGCTGGGATCGCCTTTGTCACCTTGAGCAAGGTAGGGGACAGAGATGGGGGCTGATGAGGCTCTGGCTGGGCCCTGTTACCGGGGACTCCTCTTGAGAGGAGAGGGTAGCTCAGCTGGGCCGGGCTGGGTCTTCTGACCCCACTGGCTGCGGTGAAGGGAATCACCCCCTTGGTCCACCCAGTGGCTGTGAGCTCCCAACGCCGCCCCAAGCCAGGTGCCCAGCAGGCTGGGTCCTCTTCTAGTGCCTTGCCGGTGTCCTTTTCCTCAGGCTGTGTTGGAGCGAGCACTTCTTTTGCAGCTGCCTCTCACACTGTTGTCTGTTACTGATTTTTTTGATAAAAAGATAATAAAGCCTGGTACTTTCTAGATGGCTTGTGTCTTGTCATTTTAAAGCTGGTAGTAACAAGTCATTCTTTCTGGACTCTGTACCCCTTGAACTCCGTGAAGTGTCAGAAAATCTCTCTAAGGGAGGTCGCAGGGACCAAAGCAGTATGAAAGAAAGCAGGGGAGCACCTGGGGGGAGGGAAGAGGTCCACACACGCACCCGGGGGCCTGTGTGGCCTAGCGTGCTTGCCTCAGCATTTTATTTTGGCAGCACCATGTTTAATAAAAATCCTTAAATTGCTATCTGTAGACATCAGGATGCTTCTCATAAAAATCCAGATTCCTAAAAAAAAAAAAAAGCAACTTACAGCATTAAAGCAGTGACGTAGCTCAGTGGCACAGTACCTGCCTGGCAAGCACGAGGTCCTGAATTCGATCCCTAGTACTGGGAAAAAAATCCAGATTCCTCACTTTTCTTGTGGGGGGAAAAATCACAATTTGGCAACTCAGTTTGCATGGCAGTAATTCTGTTCTGCTGAGATGGGACACCTGGACATCCGCGTTGCCATACCACATCCTCTGCCTCTTTCACTCACGTTACTTGCTTAGCTTATGGTTGGCAGGCTCTAGAAATAGCATCAACAAGCTCTCAGTTCCTCATAACAGGCCTGTGGGGTGGCGAGTTTCTTTCTACTAAGGGTTACTCACCTGCCCTTAGCTTGGGTGTGCAGTTGAACCTTAATTCCAGGTCCTTGGGCATTGGTGGCTTTCCCTTGGCACTACGTTGCCCACTGCTTTGCTGGGGTGGTGGGAAGAGGAGTTGGTAGTAGTCATAGTAAACCCTCAAGTCATGCATTTCATGTGCCAGGAGCCCATTCTCAGTGCTTTACACTGGAACCTGTTAATCATCACAACTCCACAGGTAGACTCCAATTTTACAGGTGGGAAAACTGCATTTAAGAGATTAAATTACTTGTCCAAAGCTATAGAGCTTACAGTGGCAGAGGGAAGATCTGAATGTGGGTAGTTAGTCAGACTCTGGAGTCTGCTCATAACTACCCTGCTATCAGTGTTGTTGCCCAGGGTCTCTTCAGTGGGGGCTGCTCAGCTGCCATGGCCCCCTCTCAAGCGGTGAATTAGGTCTCAGATCCTATGTTAGCTGACCATTCTCCTGAGTCCCTGTTATACTTTTGTTTTTCTGAGTCCTTTGAGGCTTGCGTGGGTCTCTGGCCCTGTATCTCCAGTTACTTCCTGAGCTCGTCTCTCATATCCATCTATAAGATCTGCACTGCCCAGTGTAGTAGCTAATAACCACTATGGCTATTTAAATTTAAATCAAAAAATGAAAATTCAGGGCCGGGTATGTAGCTCAGTGGTGCTGCCTGCCTTGCAAGCACAAGGTCCCGAGTTCAATCCCTGGTACCAAGAAAAAAAAGAAGAAAATTCAAATCTTTAGTTGCATTGGCCTCAGTACTCAAAAGCTACAGTGGCTACTCCTCATGACCCATCAGCTGGCTTCTCCCAGTCACTGATCCAGTAGAGCTAGGTAGAAGCAGCAGTGCCTTTTAAGACTTAGCTTTGAAAGTCACACATTCTCCTTTCAATAATATCCTTTTTTTCTGGTGGTTCTGGGGATTGAATCCAGGGCCTTTGTACTGAGCTACATCCCCAGTCCTTTTTAATTCTTACTTTGAGACACTCACTGTTGCCTAGTCTGGGCTTGAACTTGAGATCCTGCCTCAACCTCCCAGGGTGCTGAGGTTACAGGTGGGCTCCACCATGCCCACCTCCTGAAATATCTTACTGGTCACACGAGTCAGCCCTATTCATTGTGAGAGCCAGTTATGCAAAAGTGAGACTACCAGGAGGCCGGACTCATTGGAAGCTATTTTAAAGATTGGTGACCATGGCCCCATTATTGGGCAACACTTGATGAGGGTTACTTTATCTGCAGAGCTAATTGACTGGTAGAGTATTATTTCTGAGAAGTGAACGGGGAATGCTAAGTGGGTTCTGGACAATAGTGGGCCAGTTTCATAAATGATCTGGCAGTCTTCTGAAGCCAGAGAGGCACTGATCCCTGCGTGCGCTGTTTCCTGCACAGGGGACACAAAGGCCTACAAGCCAAATGTCTCCCTGCCAATGATTTGATACATGGTTTTGGGGAGTAGGCAGAATTCTGAGATGGTCCCCAAGGCCCTCCAACCCTTGCCAAGCATGTATAACGTGTATATTTCTCTCCCCTTGAGTGTGGGCAGGTCCTGTAAATATGATAGGATACCAGTAAGTTTATAATTAGGTTAATTTAGGTAGCAAAGGTGAAGAGATAATTCAGATGTATTTAGTGTCCCAAGTCAGTTGCTTTTTTTTAATTAGCAAAAAGGGAGATTATCTTGGATGGGTCTGATTCAATCAGTTGGCCTTACAGAAGCACGATGCCATGAATTCTATAACTACAAAGAAACAAATTTTGCCAACAATCTTGTGAGCATGGAAGAAGACTCTGCCTCCGGGAGTCTACAGTCCTGGCTGGCACTTTGCTTGCAGCCTTGGGAGACCCTAAGCAGTTAGCTACACTGTGCTTGGATCCACGGAAACTTGAGGACAATAAATATGTGTTGTTGTAATCTGCTACTTTTGTGGTGATTCATTATGCAACACAGAAACTAATATAGGAAGGTCATTCTTCCTCCTCTGGACCATCAGTTCCCTGATTTGTTAAATGGAGGGAGAGTGTAGTTTACAGATCATTTTAGAAAGCGCTTCTGGAGTAACTACAATGACTGCAACTAGCCCATATAAAGTGGTTCCTTCAGGCCAGGCCCTGTTGAAAGTACCATCATTCCCACTTACAGAAGTAGAAACAGAAACAGAGCGGTTAAGTGACTTGGGTTTGCCCAGGTACACACAGCTTTGACTCCACAATGGCTGTTGTCTAGAAATGCCACCATTAGAGCTGCATTCCTTCACTTTAAGAAGGCCCCTCTGAAAATAACATATGGGTTAGGAGTGCAAGAAGAGAATAAACATGTAAATATGTATGAATGGGCTGGATGTGTGGTGAACACCTGTAGTCCCAGCACTCTGAGAGGCTGAGGCAGGAGGGTCTCAAGTTCAAGCCCAGCAACTTAGTGACTTAGTGAGACTCTGTCTCAACATAAAAATGAAGGGCTGTGGATGTTTCTCAGTGTGAAGCCCCTGGGTTCAATCCCCAGCATAAAAACATAGATGTACACAAGCCAGGATACACCAAGACCAAGACCATGATACTCCTATCCAGGGCGAGGTGCTAGGGTTGGACTAAAGCATGTTTAGGATCATTCAGGGCTTGAGGATGAGTTTGGTGGCATGGGCCCCACCCCAATACCTTTTAACCAGGGTGAGTGCCTAAGGACTTGGTCACATAGCTCTGCCTTCCCCAGAACTTTGCCTGCACCCTCACCCTGCCCCGTGCCTTGGCAAACAGCCAGCAGTGGCAGGTGTTTGCCACTTTACCCACTGAAAGTATTATTGTACCACTAGTGTCCTGCCTTTGTCCCTTGGAGCCTGGAACCCAGCCAAGCCTGGCCACGTGCCTTTTTCTATGTGTCTGTGAGTGCTCAGGGCTGGCCCTTGACACAACCTTGTAGATATCTTATTGGTTTCGCTTCCCTTAAAGCCACATCCTCTCTCCCTTGTCACCTTCATGGTCAATGTCCTCAGCAGTCTGCATCCTCCCCAGGGAGGAAGGTGTCTGAAAAATTTTTCCCTTGATACTAACAAAAGCAAACAAGAATCCCCAAGGACATTACTTAAACCAGGATACCAGTCTGTTACCAGTGCTCTCCAGGAGCACAGGATGGTAAGCTGGAAGATTTGGGAACAGAGATTTTGATCTTATTCTCTCAGGAGTGCAGAATTCAAATCAAGAACAGGCTCTGCCAACAACCTGCTGTAACCCTGACCTCCTTTCTTGGAGCCTCAGTGCTCCCATCTATCAAAGAGGCTGGATGTGGTGGCACACAGCTGTAATCCCAGCACTTGGGAGGCTGAGGGAGGAGGAGTGCTGTGAGTTTGGGGCCAGCCTGGGCTACATAGTGAGTTCAAGGCCAGCCTGAACTACATAGCGAGACCTTGTCTCAAAAAAATGATAATAAAATAAAGTAATTTTAATAAATAAAATAAAAAGGAAATGTGGACTAGAGCAATGATTCTCAAGCCTGGCTGCTCCCAGGGATCACACTGAAGAGTTTTCCAACAATAAAGATGCTTGGGCTCCCCCCTCAGAGATTTTAATCCAACAGATTTGTAGTGTGGCTTGGATAATTAATTTTTACAGCTTAGTAGCTGATTCTAATATGAAAATGAGTAAATTAATACACAAACAAGTTTTAAAGTGTTTAGAAATCCCTTGGAAGTACTGCATTCAAAATTGTGTGTATAAATCCCCAAAGAATCCCAAGAACCTGAAAAAGTTCAGATTTTTAGGGACCCCCATCAGCGGCTATAAAAAAACGAATACAATGCTTGAGATGGGAACAGTGCCCTCTGGTGGTTATACTTCGGTTATACTTTGGACTTGCAATATCCAAATTATTGACCGATTCAGTTGCAATACAATTTGTTACAGTATTTAATGAGCACTAATGTACAAGACACTGTGATATGTTCTCTAGGACACACAGAGATAAAAGCTCCTTTCCCCTTGAAGCTCACAGTCTAGAGATAATGGACATGTACATAAAGCCCCTTGATCCAAGGCAGGAGTCAACATGATGGAATACAAGATGGAAGCCTGGTGCCGCGCTAGCTTCAGGTACGTGGACCTGTGCTTAGAAGGGCTTTGCACTTGCTTTCATCATCTCTTGTCTTGTCTTAAAATTATTTGAACAGGAGCCACATATTTTCGTTTTGCACCAGGCCTCATAAGTTATATAGTTGGGGTAGTTGGGAAAGTTTTGGAGGAGGTGACATCTGACCTGAGGCTGCAGGCAGCGCAGTCGTGAAGGGAGAGGAAGAAGCATATTTATTTATTTTTGGTACCGGGGATCCAACGCAGGACCCTGCCCTTTTGAGGCAGGCGGCAGAACCACTGAGCTAAATCCCCAGCCCAAAGAAGCATATTATTTATTCTTTTTTTTTTTTTTTTTTTGGTACCAGGGATCTAACTCAGGTCCTTACACTTGCAAGGCAGGCGACAGAACCACTGAGCTAAATTCCCGGCCCAGAAGCATATTATTTAAATGTGGAAGGGTCTTGGTGACAGGGTCTTATGGGGGAGATAGAAGGTCCAGAACATCTTTTGTCGGCAGAGAGGGAAGGGATTCTGATGTTAGCTGATCAGGCTCAGGAGCAAGGAGGATATCCAGGGAAGACCCAGCAGCCAGAACTCAGGAGACACTGTAAGGCTGGAGCTTGGGGGTCACAGACTTCCAATGGGGCAGCTAGGTGGGACCAAGGGTTATAGGGCCCCCTGCAAGGAGTGAAGAAGACAAAGCTACATGGCCCTCGAGCCCAGCTCCCATGCAGTGTGCTGTGAAACTTCCCTTAGCTTCCGTTCTGCTTCGACACCACCATGGGACAGTGACACAAGCTCTTCTGAAGCAGGCACTCAATTGGGGGATTTCCCATTCAGTCTGTTCCTGCCATTCCTCAGCCAGGATTCACCATGGCCATGTGGGCTTTGAGCAAACTTCTCCCCTGCTGCTCACTGTGGACTTCAGCCTCCCAAGACTGGGGAATCTAAAGAACAAACCCTGTTGGGAAATGTGGGCCGGGTTTTTTCTTTTTGTTTTTTTGCTGCTTCTGAATTCTTATGGGGACTTTCCACATTCTGGGGAAGGCATTTTACAGGAAGTGAGCTCTCCCTCAGAAGGCCAAGGAAGGGCTCAGAGGATTGGACCCTACGCCCACATTTCAACCAGTTTCTCCCACTAGGAGCCACCACCAGGGGCTGGTACAGAAGCTGGAACCCATGATATCTGTGTCCTTGGTTCCCATAGACCAGGCAAGGGGCCTGCTTGATGTTTATTTATTTTTTCTTCTTCCCTGGAGGAGACAGAGTAGGCCCAGTGTAGGCAGGCTGATCAGGCATGGGCTGTGATTCAGTCTGCGGCCCCAAGCAGAGGAGCCCTTCTTCCAGATGCATTATTGCCCAGTTAGCCCAAGACTTCTGCCTCGGTTGTCCTAGGAAGGCTTTGTTCTGCAGAGCTCCTGTATTTGCCTCTGAGTTTAGGGTGCATTCTTTTCTTTTCTTTTCTTTTCTTTTCTTTTCTTTTTTCTTTCCTTTCCTTTCCTTTCCCTTTCTTTCTTTCTTTCTTTCCTTCCTTCCTTCCTTCCTTCCTTCCTTCCTTCTTTCTTTCTTTCTTTCTTTCTTTCTTTCTTTCTTTCTTTCTTTCTTTCTTTTTTCGTACCAGGGATTGAACTCAGATCCTTGCACTTTTGAGGCAGGTAGCGGAACCACTGAGATAAATCCCTGGCCCTAGGGTGCATTCTTGCTTGTGATAAGAAACAACTAGTAAGATAACTAGTTATCATAGATGACAGGTGGCAGCTGGGGGAGGGACAGGGGCTCAGGGATGCCAGTTATTCCTCTAGAGGGGATCAAAAAGGCAGGCCGTTGGCTCCGTCAGACTGAGGCTTGCACAGCAGCAGATTTAGAACAACAGGGTAATCCCCGATCCTCAGCACTGCATCCTCCTGGGCCTAGTGGGGACAGTTAAGATGGCAAAACCCGACTGCGGGCCCAGGCACCTCTGCAGCCACCGAGGCCGGGCAGCAGAGAGGAAGCTCAGGCAAGGCCACTGTGCTGACTCTAAGGTGCTCCAGCTCCTGCTCCTGGGCAGGGACCAGTGGAGTCCAGTGTTTCAGGTGAGACCTGGGGCTGGGAGGGACTCGGTGGTGCTCAAGGGTGTGCTGCCCATACCTCAGGCCTTATCTTCTGCCTGGGCTTTCAAAGCTATGTATTTTATCGCCAAGTAGGGATACGGGTGCCTGGAGGACACATACACCAGGTTGGGCTTCTTGGAGTGTGTGAAAAGGTGTAAAAGACACGGGGAGAGCTAGAAAGTCCAAGGTGGAGGGACAGAAACACACAGATAGACCTACAGAGACGTTACCGAGGCAGATAGGTCAGTTGATTGAGTGAGTGAGTGAGATACACAGGGAGATGACGGCAGACCGGGGGACCCCACACAGACTGAACACAGGGTACCTCCCAGGTTGTAATCCCGCGCAAGCCCCGTGTAAACCCAGGTTTCTATGGGAGCTTTCTTCCGCCCTTTCCCGACAGAGGGGCAAGGCAGCAGGGGGCGCCGGGGTGCCCCGGGCCGGCCACTCGCTCCTAGGTCTGGACGAAGAGGTGGAAGTTGGTGCGTGTGAACTCGTGGTGGATGCTCTCGAGGAGCGCATCGGCATCGGCAGCGGGCTTCGGGGCGCTGGGCTGACCCGGCCCGGCGCTGTACTCCGGGGTGTAGGTGAGGGAGAAGGCGCTGGGGTAGAAGAGCCGGTCAGCGCGCACCAGGCTCACCGGCACCGTGATGGGAGTGCGCAGCCAGCGCCAGTCGCTGCCGAAGGCCATCACGTCGGGCACCACGCACACCAGCGACCGCGGGCTCCTGGGAGGGGCATGGGCGTTAGGGCTGCAGCGACTCTGGTGACTCGGCCCCTGCTCCCGGGAACCTCAGCTCGCCTCCTGCACCCTATACCTGTACATGGTCTCTGCCTCCACGTCCCCGAACCACACCTTGAGCCCCGCGTGGAAGTTCTCCCCGTGCAGCTCCAGCGTTGCCACGTGGCCCCCACCGCTCAGCTGGGGAGCAGGGGCCCCGGTGGGGTGGGTGAGGGCAACCAGGAGCCAGCGGCCTCTGCCGCCAGCACCCCAGCCCCCACACTAGGCGGCTTCCTCCCCGCCCGCCAGCGCCCCCCAGCGTCCGGGTCACCTCTAGGGTGCAGATGAGGGGCACCGGCGTGACCGGCTCCCGCGTGCACGCCAGGCGGGTGCTGAAGGCGAACTCCACGGACTCGGTGCCGATGATGGTCCAGCAGGAGCTGTCGTTGAGCAGTGCCCTGTTCTCCTCTTTGGGACAGGGAGAGGCCTGGAGGGGGACCCAGGGGTGGGCAGAGTTTTCGGTGGTGGCCGCCCGTGTAAGGGAGCTGCACACTGCGGGACACCCCCCCCCCCGCAGGCCCAAATGGGTTTCAGTCCTAGGCTCTGGGGTCTCCCTGAGACCGAACTTGGACCAGACTCTTAGGTTCGCTCACAGAGGGTTGAATGCGCTTCCTGGACCTGCTGCTTGCCTGTTCTTTCCTTCCCTGTCATCTTCTTCTTTTCCTCTTCCCGGGCCTCTCCTTTCCTCCTTCTCCCTCCCCTTCCCCTTCCTACTTTTATTTCCCTTTCCCCTCCTCTCTCTCTCTTCCCTTTCCTTCTCCTGTCTTCCTTTCTCTCTCTCCCTCTCCCTGCCCCTCGCCCCTCTCCTGTCTTCTCCCTCTGCTCTTCCTTTTTCCCCTTGGCACTGGTGACTGAATACAAGGCCTCCCCCTGAAGCATACCCCCAGCCACTGCCTCTTGAAGAGTTGGAATTATGAGGTGTGCCCGCCACACCCAGCCCCGGTGGGGGCCTTGTTAATGACCTTATTTGCTTGGGTTTCTAGAATTTTATTTTTTAAAATTGTGCAATACTTTGCCCTACCATTCTACACCTTTAATATTCTTTGGGAAGGAATATTGCTCAATGATAATAATAATAATAATTGTTTTTTCCTACATTTTATGATTTTATTGCCAAACATTCTTAATAGCATTCTTTTGACAGATTGGTTAATAATTATTATTTTCCACATTCTACAATTCTATGCCTCAATATTCTATCATTCTAAGTCTTTCATTAACAGTACTCAATACTATTACACGTTCTAATTTTTATTTGCATTCTACAATATTTTTTTTTGTACCGAGGCTTGAACTCAGGACCTTATTATGCTTATGAGGCAGGCACAGCGCCACTGAGCTAAATCCCCGGCCCATTCTACAATTTTATATCCCAACATCCTATGGTTCTAATATTCTTTGGGAATGAGTATTGCTTAATAATAGCACTTATTATTTTCTACATTCTAGGTTTCTGTCCTGATAGTCCATGATTCTGACCTTCCATGCTAGGCAGTGTTGCTCAGTATGCAGCAGAGGCAATGATCTTGCATTGTATGGCTCTCTACCTTCTCCTTTCTGGGATGCTTGGTGCTGATATACCCTGCTCACCTGGAATTGCTCCACTTTCTCTGTGGCAAGGCATAAATAGGTGCCACCCCCTCCTGGAGGGCCACCTGGAAACTGGAAGGCACACTTGTGCAGTTGAGAGATAGGCTCATCTACATGGAGGAGTGCACACTGTTTGGCTACTTTGCGGATTATCTGCAACAGAAGGGTCATAGGAAGAGTGGTGGGAGGAGACTGGGTGCCAAGAAGCTGCCCTCCCAGCCCGTTTCAGCTACTTCAGTAGCTTTGGGGGCACGGGAAGAGTCCTAGAAAGCACCAAGGGTCCCCAGAGTGAGAGCAGAGGTCTTCGGGCTTTGGGCCCTCGCCCTCCAGCCCTGTGCACACAGGTCACACTTTGCACGGAGCTGGGGGTACTCCTGCAGGTGTGCTGCGCCTCCTCATACCATAGGAGGCAGTGTGATGCCGGTGACCGTGCAGACCAGCTGCACCAGGGAGCCATAGCGGATGTAGCCCTCTCGAGGTGGGAAGTCCCCTTGGGAACAGTGTTCATCTGCTGGGGTGAAAGAAAGGAAGAGATGAAGGTTTCAGAAGCCTGAAGGTTTCTGCCCCAACCCTGCCTTCTCACCTTTGGCTCCACCCCACATCATGAATAGGCCTTGTGGGAAAGGCCAGACCTCAGGGAAGCAGCTAGGGCTCCTAATCCTGGGGTGAGGGTCCTTTGTGACCATTCTCAGAAATGTCTGCCTCCTGGGGTGGGCACTTAGTCAACGTGAGAGAGAAGCGCAGTGACAAGGGAAAGGAATAGCTGGGTCAGTCCCTTTCTCACTGGGGTTGTGGGTGAGCCTTTGCTTTTGAGCTCAGTTGCAGGGCCAAGTTGACCTTTCTTGAGGAACTGGGGAGAGGCGTAAGCAGGCTAACACTCGTGGCGTGCCCGGGCGTGCCTGCTGGAGTCATTACCGAGGCGGAGTGTGAAGGCGGCCCACTGTCTTGCGCTGGCCACGAAGGCCCCATCCTCCACAGAGAGGTAGCGGGTGGACACCGTCTGGGAGCGCAGGCGGTTGAAGAGGGAGACCTTTGAGCCCGAGGATATGCACACTGGGGCCGAGGGAGGATGGAGTCAGTGCCCTGGCTTGGAGCTTTGGGGCTCTCAGACAATCTCCAGGCCTCTGTGCCACGCACCAGCCTGACTTATATGGACACGCTGGATGGTCATCTCTCATGGCTGTTTATCTAGTGCTGCTGTGCCTTGCCTGCTACTTTGTGCTGCCTGAGCTACTTTGGGGAATACCAAAGAGTGAGTTAGGCACACCTTTGCTATGGAAGAGATCCTCATTTCAAGTACATAAATCTAAAATGCCAGTATAAAGTGGTGAGGGCTGAATCAAGGAGGCCTTCTTGGAAGAGGTTCCACTCTCAGAGGGAGATGGTGAAGCAGATAGGAGCTGCTCAGGGGCTGCTCCAGCAGAAACCACTTGGTGTGGGACAGCAGTGCACTATTTTTTTGGTACCGGGGATTGAACTCAGGACCTTGCACTTGCAAGGCAGGCGAGGTGCCACTGAGCTACATCCCTGGTCCACCAGTGCATTATTTTTAGAGCTTAGCATTTATCTCTTCTGGCTTCAAATATCATATACTCAAATCCACTGCTTTACTTTCTCATTGCACTTTGGCACCTGGGGAGAAGGCAGTGGGTGGGTCATTGTCCTCTCTTCTCTCACAGAGAGGGACATAGTGCAGGTGCTCATTTCCACTACTCAAAGTCCCCTTCCGCTAAATAATAGCTGGCGTTTACTGTGTGCCAGGTACTTTTCTAAGTGCTTTATGTGTATTTTGCTCCTTTTGTTCTCTCAACAACCCTAGAAGGTAGACAATATTATCTCCACTTAAGAGAGCAACCTGAGTCAGGCATGGTGATGCACGCTTGTTATTCTTGGGAGGATGAGGCAGGAGGATTCAAGTTCGAGCCCAGACTGGGCAACTTAGTGACTTAGAAAGACCCTGTCTTAAAATAAAAAATAAAAAGGGCTGGGGATGTAGCTCAATGCAAAGACCCTGGGTCCAATTTCCAGTACTGGGTGTGTGTGTGTGGGAAGCAACCTGCTAAAGATCACACAGCTGCCAAGTTGTAGAGCAGGATTTAAACTCAGGCTTCTAGGCTCCAAAATCCGAACTCAACCATCATGTGATCCTCCTACTCCTCCCTAGCCCTTCCCCGACGCCAGGGGCCAGCTCTAACACTGCTTGGATCTGGAACAGTCCACAGCTTTTTTAACAGATAGCGAGTGTGGCTGGGCGCAGTGGTGCACGCCTATAATCCCAGCACTCAGGAGGCTGAGGCAGGAGGATCACCATGAGTTTGAGGCCAGCCTGACAACATAGCAAGAACTTGTCTCAAAAATAAATAAAATAAAATAAGTGTGGTAGAGAGTAAGAGGTGGACTCTGCAGTCACATTGACTCAGGGTCATTCCCTGGCTCGGCCCCTTCCCAGGTGGGCAATCTTGGGCAAGGCACCTGGATGTGATAAGCCCAAGGATTTCTTAAGTGAATGGATGAATATTTAGAACCTTGTATCCTCCCTCTACTATACAGGGACAATGATACTACCTACCTGGGAGGGACTGATCTCCAGGAAAGTCCCTACCCACCCTGTCCCTTTACCTCCCAGTGATGGACTGGTGGTGTTGTCATTGTTACTGAGCCCTCCTCCCCTAGGACTGTCCACTTGACATCCAAAACAGTACATATCTCAAGTGACCTCTCTGATCTGCAATGCATGTCTTCCCTGATAGGTTATACCTTCTTCTAGAACATCTACTATTATTATTTTTAAAAAACTTTTTGAGACAGGATCTTGCTATATAGTTCAGGCTGGCCTGGAATTTGCAGCAATCTTCCTGCCTCAGCCTCCTGAGTGCTAGAATTACAGGCGTGCGCCATCATGCCTGGTATCGACGTCGTCGTCATCATCATCATCATCATCATCATCATTATCTGCATGGTGCTGGGGAATCAAGGGCCTTGTGCGTGCTAAGGCAAGTGCTCTACCACTGAGCTACATCCTAGATCCTGGTCTTATTTTAAAGAGATCCAGCCCCTAGCACAAACCCAGCCATACAGCAAGTACTCCATATGTGTTTTAAACTGAATTCCCTCGGCCTCTTTACGGTCACTTTTGTTTCCTGGAACTGGGGGTTGGACGAAGGGCCCCAGGCCTGCTCAGCACGCGCTTCAGCGCTCAGCCTCTCTCTCACCCCCGAGCCCCCCTATGGTCACTTTGAATCTGTCGTTCAGCCCGCACCCCACCATCCAGGCTCCCCGTGCCCTTTCCCGGGTCGGAGTGGCATCCTGTCAGGCCCGCCCCTCTCTCGGCTCAGGCTCCACCCCTCTCACGCGGACCCCGCCCCCAGGCGCCAGCTCCAGGCTGGTTGCCCCTCCCGGCCGGCCCTGCGTTCGGGCCCCCGACCCCGCTCACGGTCGGTGTTTTTCAGCGACTGCTTTTTCTGCGAGGGCTTCGAGATGACCTTGATGAGGCGGCTGTGGAATGTGCCCAGCTCCCGGCCCCCTCGCAGCACGAGGCGGAGCACCAGTCGAAAGTGCTTCCTTTTGTCTGCGTCCGAGATGTACAGGGTCTTGGCACAACCGAATTCCTAGCGGGCTCGTGGGGATGGGGCCGTCTCATCCCAGGCTTCAGCCGTCAGAGGACCCAACCTCCTGAGGTTGCCTGACGCCCGCCCCATCGGAGGGACAAGAAGCTCCCCGAGCCAGGTTCTGGGGCTCAGCCACGAGGCAGACCCTGGCTCCCGGCCTCCCTGTTCTCTCTTGGCCCCTAGAGGGGACTAAAGGAGCCCTCTCTCCGAGGGAAAGGCAGGGATGGGAGCAAGGAATCTAATCGTACCCTCTCCCGCGCTCTCTCACCCTGGAGTCCGGCTGCTCCTCGAAATGCAACTTCTGGGTCTCGGTGGCGCTGCCAGACGCGCCGTCCAGCCCCATGTAACCGCAGACGGTGGGCCCAATGTCTCCGGCCTGGTGGGCTGGAAAGGGGCGCGAGTGGGCTGGGGACGCGGGACTCAGGTGCAGAGCAAGCTGAGCTTAGGCCGCCAGAGGGCGCAGGGAGACTGAGCCCACCAACCGCCCAGCCTGCTGGGGTCCTCCCTGCAGCCTGCAGCCCTTGGGTGCCCCTTCACCTTGTCCCTGCGCTGGCTTCACCCTCCATCCGGGACCCGTGAGGTAGACACAGGGCGGGGGACAGAAGAACCTGCAGAGACATGTGAGGGCTGGGTTCGAATATCCATCGCCACTTGGCTATCTTGTAGGCTTCTCAAGGTTAGCACTGAGTCCTTGATTCCTCCCCGCTCTCTCTTCAGACATCTCCAGGGCCATGAACCCCATTAACACCCAAACTTTCATTTGCTTACACTTCTCTCATTTAACCCATCAGTAAGCCCTGTCTACTCCACCTTCAAAACATATTTGGAATCCATTGGCTGTGTGACCACCTCTTCCCTGTGTGTGTGTGTGTGTGTGTGTGTGTGTGTGTGTGTGTTACTGAGAACATAGGGGTACTCTACCACCGAGGTACAGCCCCAGCCCTTTTATTTTATTTTGAGACAGGCTTTCATTAAATTGCCCAGGATGGCCTTGAACTTTTGATCCTTCTGCCTCAGCCTCCCAAGCAGCTGAGATCAGAGACGTGTGCCACTGCCTGGCCTAACCATTACTTTTTTTTTTTTTTTTTTGGTACCGGGGATCGAACTCGGGACTTTGTGCTTGAGAGGCAGGCGCCAGAACCACAGAGCTAAATCCCTGGCCCTAACCATTACTTTTTGCCTACATGACTGGATCAGTCTTTCAATGTTGCTACTCCACCCCCTTCTAACTTATTCTTCACACAGCAGGCAGAGAGCTTTTGTAAAAACATAGGGCAAATGTGTTATGTCTCTTCTGGAAATCCTCTAGTGGTTTAAAATCCCAGGTCTTCACATGACCTGGCCCCTGTTTACCTCTCCAGCTTACTTCTTATAGCTTGTTCCCGCTCCTCTAATTCCAGCCACATTGACTTCTTTTGCAGCTAAACAGGCCTAGCAGGTACAGGTCAAGGTCTTTGCATGTTTTGTTCCTTCTAGTTGGAAACACTTTCCCTAGATTTTTTCGTGTGTGGCTTCATCTACCATTGAGGTATCAGTTCAAAGCACTTACTTTGCCACTGAGCTACATTCTCACCTCTCAAGTCTCAGTTCCGATGTCATTTCTTAAAAGGCTTTTTGACCTCCTTAACCTATCAAGTGAAAGTACCCCACCTCTCCGGTTTATATCACATTTCCCTGTTCTCTTTCCTTCCAGCTCTCATCAGACTCTGACAATGTCTCATTTGCTGATAATGTGAGTTTACTGCCTGTCTCTTTCGAATTAGAGTAAAAATACCAGGAGAGCAGGGACCGAGTCAGTCTTGTTCAGCTGTATGTCCAGTGCCCAGCTGTGACCACAGAGCCCAGCACATGATAAGCACTCAGTAAATAGCTGAATGATTGCATAATGGGCAAGGGAGTGAATGGTGACGAGAGAGCCATAGGGAGGTTCTGCTAAAGGCTGAAGTGGGGGCTGGTGCTGGCTGAGGGACAGGTCCCTCAATAGCTGAGGTCTCAACTCAGGTACAAGGGGCAGAGGTGAGAGAGCCTGGGAGGGAATGCTGAGGCACCTACCGCTTCTCATTTCCATAGGACTTCTGGGCCACCTTGGCGTGCAGGATCCGCACTGTCTGCTCACACTGTTGCTGCAGACAACTGCGCACTCCTTCCCTCAGTTCAGTGGCTCGCTCTGGGGATGAACTGGCCCAGGGCAGGCCAGCAGCAAGGTGAGTAGAGGCTCGAGGTTGCAGATAGCCCTGGGCTCAGGTTGAGTGAAATGAAGCAGAGGAAGGGGCGGCTCCCCCGAGGTGGAGGGGCCAGAAGTGTTAGGCAATGCAGAGGACTAAATATTTGGGCTTTGAGGTGTTCAGTGAAGACCACACAGAGCCCACCGGGACCACCCAGGTGCCTCTGTCTGGGTCTGGCTTTCTGCCCATGCAGTCTGGAGCAGTAGGGAGACATGGCTGCTATACAAAGGCTGCACTGTGTTGCCCCTGGGATGGAGAGATAGGGTGTGTGGAATTGGTAGTTAAACTTCCCGGTTTTCAGAGAATGCCAGGGGGAAACAGCCTTCCCTGGATGCGGGTCCAGAGGGCTCTTGCCTCCTGTGGGCAGAGAGGCCTGCAAACATGAAAGGATCCCAAAGCCATGTCCCCAGGATGGGGAACATCTGAGTTTTTCTGTGGCCAAAGCAACTCTCCCCCCCTTCTCCCAGGAGAAGGGGCCTGTTGCTGAGTCGGCTTTGTTCTTTTTCTTACTTTTTTTTTTTTTTTTTTTTTTTGAATACACAGGGTCTTGCTTCGTAGTTCATGCTGGCCTTGAACTCACTGTGTAGCCCAGGCTGCCCTCCCGCCTGAGCTTCCTGAGTGCTGGGATGACAGGTGTGGGCTACCATGCCTGGCAAAGGGTGGACTTTCTTTTATTACAGGGAATCAGGCCCATGCATCACCCTGCAGGGTGAGCCGGGGTCAGGGGCTGTAGATCTGGCGACTTCTCCGTCTGGGGTTTTGATGTTCATTCGAAGCCCACGCAGTTTCAGGGAGCATGTAAAGGAGGACTTGCGGCAGAGATTTGAGGAATCAGTGGGTCGGGGCCTGAGGAAAGCTATGATCCCTTCTCCCCTCGCTGTCCTGTTAAGCCCTATACACTCTTGGCAGGACCCGAGTCCCAGCCTCTCTTGCCTGCTGGAGGGGACATCGGAGGGTAAGAGTCAGGCGCGCCCTGGAAAGCCTGGCCAGGCCCTGTCGGCGGCCAGAGCAGGAGCGCCCCGCCTCTTGGGGCTCTCCTCAGGGGCAGTGTCGCCGCCCTTCTCCCGGATTCCAGCCCCCGCAGCTGGCGGTCCGAAGCTCCGAAGGTGGCAGGAGCAGGGGGCGCCGCGCTTGCTCCGCCTCAGTCCTCAGAGGAAGGGGGATTCGCTCCCTGCCAGTGGGAGGGGTCGCGGCCCGCGCTCCCCCTCCCCACCGCCAGCCCCTGGTTAAATGCGGCCGCCGCCTCTGCTCGCTCCAGCTGCCTGGCAGTCCCCACCTAGGGCACGCTGCCCACGCCGTTACCTGGTCCAACTGCCCGGGAGGCTCCGCCCATCAGCTCCGCTCTGCAGCCGCGCCGCCTCCGAGCCGTCCTGCAGGCTCAGGTGAGTCAAAGGGCCGGGGGGCTCCGAGGATCCTGCAGGGGGCAGGCGGCAAGCACCACCCGGAGACCTATTCACCGCAGAGGCACCACCTGCGGCGGCCACACCTCCCCGGCGGGGCCCTCTTCCTCTTCTGAGGGGTCCCTTCCAAACCGAACCCCCACCAGTAAGGCGGATGCAAACGGGGGGCTCCTTCCAGGCCCCAACACATTCCCAAGGTAGCCATGCTCGGGCCAACTCTTGAATAATTACTCACAGACCTCTCCGCCCCGCCCCTTGCAGTCCACTCTGCCGACCCTAAGGGCATCTGCACGCTTTCTCTTCAACCCAAGGATTGACCTCCCCGGAGTCCGTGGGCTCTAATGTCCGCCCGGGCCACCCCCTCTCTGAGCGGCCTTGAGGGCAGGCCCATCACCCTCTCTGGACCTGGCTCCTCTTGCAAACGGAGGGGTGGGGACCGTGGTGAAGTTTGCGGGAAGTTCATCGATTAACTTTCTAGCACTACTTTCTAGGCCTCCTGGGATGGAGTAGGTACCAAGTGGACGTTGACTTAGGCCAACAGCAGGATAAGGGGGGCCTTAGTCAAGGTTAGGGGCCCAGGGGCTTCTGCCAGTAGGAAGCGAGAAAGGCCCCTAGAGCCTTTAACCCCAACGCTACCCAGGGGTGCTGGCCTCGGCTGTGGCCCAAGGTAGAGAAGGCAGCTGGCACGTCGGGCTGAGTCACCCTCCCACGACAGGCCCTGCCAGAGGGATTTTTGTTCCTCTACCAGGGGTGGAAGGCGAAGGGGGAGAAGAATCCTGGACAGGAAGCCTGCCTGGGGCGAGCTGCAGGAGCGGCCTTGCTCAGAATAGGCTCATTCACGGACCTGGACCTGGGGGGTGGGGGTGGGCGGCTGCGGTGGGACAGGGGCGCCCCGCGGTCTCCGCCCGCCCAGAAATGGCAACCGAAAAATGGCTAACGCAGCCTGAGCCCGGGGCTCAGCGGGTAGGGTAGGCCAAGGAAGGAAAAGAGGCTTAGTGACTCCAAGCAGGCGCCAGGGAGCAGCCGGGCAGCTCCGGAGGGAGAAGGGGACCCAGGAGTCCTAGGTTCTAGTGGGCCGCCTTTTGGGGCCTTCATTTTCCCATCCGTACGATGGGGGACCTTCCGTCATTCTCAAGGGACGTCGCCAGGGGCCGCAGGAGGGTGAACGCTCACCTGCTGCCCCCCCAGGGTCCATGGCCGCTTTGTGAGGCCCTGGATGCTCTCTCGCTGCCCTCTGGGTGCATCCAGTGCCACCGTCCTGGGAACCCTGCGCACCTCTGCACCCTGGCCCGTGCGCCGGATATATCCTGGCCAGGCCTTATCTCCAAGGCCCCTGGGCCCCTGTTTGCTCTGGGCAGAGGCACCTGCTGGGCAGATGTGGACTTCCCACCACGGCGGAGCGGTCGCAGCCACATGCAGGGCGGCGCCCCCTGGCGGCCTCTCCTGAGAGCAGGCGGAGAACCGAGACACGAAGTCAGGAGGTCTTGGTCCTGGAGGATTTTAGCACTATTCCCACACTGCCCCACCGCGTCTACAGGTCTGCACTCGACCGGCGAAGGACCAGCCCTTCCTTGCCACTTTCGGTTGGGCGGCGCGTGCCTGAATATGGGGTTGGGGGTGGGGCTGCAAAGACAGCCACGCAGAAGCTCTTGTGTGTGTGCGTGGGCGGGGGAGCAGAGGGCGCAGAGCGTGCGGGCTGGGTCCCAGAACCAGAGAGGCGTGGGATCCTACCGCAGCTCCTTCCTTGCTGCTGCATGACTTTGGGTTCATGCTTCTCTTCTCAGTTTCGTCATCTGTACAATGGGGCCCGAGGGTCAGTATTGTCGAGGATTAAATGCCATCGTGGGTGAAAAGCATTTAGCACTGTGACCAGCATTAGAAAAGGCGCTTCAATCTTCAAACCCTGTGTTTTATCCACTTTTTGTTTATATTATTTTGCAGTTCATTGAAGCCCTTTCGCTGTTCTACAGAGAATCTCTTGTGTCTCCCAGCAAGCCCAGTGTGATGATATTTTTATTGTGAAACATTTTGAATACACAAAAATAGATTAGTAAAATAAACCCGCGACTCTCTCCCTTCCAAGTGCCCATCTCCCAGAATAAGAGCTCTTTCTGTACTAATTTCCTTCCTCCTTTCAGGTTTTGACGTCTCCATTCTCTGAGCCCCAAACACCATGAGGGGCCTTCTCTCCTGGCCGCTGGCTATGTTACTTCTCTTTCTCCAGCCCTGGGAAACCCGGCTCCAGTCTACAGGTGATCTGGGGGCCAGCTCTCACCAGCAGGAGCGGGGAGAGGAAGTAGCCAGGCCAGGCCTGCAGGGGAGAGAAAAACAAGGCTTCTGGAACATGCGGGCCTGAGTCTGAGTTTCCCACTTCTCCTCTCTTGAGTCTTAGCCTCCTCACCTGTAGGATGTGGCTTAGCTTTGGGTTCATGCAGAACTATATATATGCAGTGTTTAATTTTGAATTTTTAAATTGAAGACATTGAAATATCAAATTTCACATGTGGGGCTTCTCTTGAAAAATTGCTAACATTCAGTCCACGTGGACGCATGGTTTTATTTTACTGGAGCTGCCGGAAATAGGAGGGATACAGGCTCTTTCAGCGTCCTTGGTCCTAACTCAACCTGCTTAACCCCTACTGCTATTTGTGCTTGGGACATTTCCTCCTCGGCCCGTCCTTAATGGATAACACCTCCCTCCAATAGCTCTCAGAGCTGCACGTGGAGAATTTGTGAAAAGTCCTAGCCCTAGTTCTCAGCGAACGCTGTGTGAGCGAGGGTATCACCCTGTGTTTGTTAGGTCCGTGCTGTGTGTGTGGGTGTGTGGGGAGCGAAGTTCTGTCGGGATAGCGGCATTTCTCCATTTTCTCAGGGGAAGGGGTGGGTTCTCCCGGGAGGTAAGGCTTTGTCGACCTAAGAATAGCTTCCTTGATGCACCCCGCAGGACCCAGCTGCCATACTGGGCCCCTGGATTTGGTTTTCGTGATTGACAGCTCCCGCAGCGTGCGCCCCTTTGAGTTCGAGACGATGCGACAGTTCCTAGTGGGCCTCCTCCGCAGCCTGGAAGTGGGGCCCAACGCCACGCGCGTCGGTGTGGTCCAGTATTCGAGTCAGGTGCAGAGCGTCTTCCCGCTCAGAGCCTTCTCGCTCCGTGAGGACATGGAGCGCGCTGTCCGCCACCTGGTCCCGCTAGCGCAGGGCACCATGACCGGACTGGCCATCCAGTACGCCATGAACGTGGCCTTCAGCGAGGCCGAGGGCGCGCGGCCGCCGGAGCAGCGTGTGCCGCGCGTCGCTGTCATCGTGACGGACGGGCGGCCCCAAGACCGTGTGGCCCAGGTGGCTGCGCAAGCGCGCGCCCGTGGCATTGAAATTTACGCGGTAGGGGTGCAGCGAGCGGATGTGGCCTCCCTGCGTGCCATGGCGTCACCCCCACTGGACGAGCATGTCTTCGTCGTTGAATCCTTTGACCGCATCCAGGAGTTTGGCCTGCAGTTTCAGAAGCGACTGTGCGGTGAGTTAAAGGAAGGCTTCCTCAAAGCTGAGAGCAGTGCCCTACAGAAGTCACGCTCCCCATACGGGCGTGGCTCCTCTTCTCAGCGTGCCTCTTCCCATTTTGTGTTACTGGGCCCACTTTAGCTTACACTCCTCCATTCTCTGCCCCTGTAGGCTCTTGCCTTACCCATGGGCGCGTCTAGTCCTGTGGCCCCTCTTCTGTGTCTAGCCTTGTTTTTACCCTAGGGCCCTCCGGGGAGTCCCATCCCACCTAGGGTCATGCTTGAGGATGGCACCTGCCTCTGGCCCGTTCCTGTTCAGCTCTTTCGTGTTGGAGGCTTCTGCCCGTCTGTCCCCGCCCCTTATTCTAGTGCTGTGTGCCCCCAGGGAAGGACCCATGTGCTGAGTGGGGACATGGCTGCCAGCACCAGTGTGTCAATGCCCCAGGAACCTTCTACTGCACCTGCAACTCTGGCTACAAACTAGCAGCAGATAAGAAGAGGTGTTTGGGTGAGAGCTATCCCTGCCCTGCAGTCTCACTGCTCCTGAACTTTCTTTGGCTTCTTTTGGCATCAGACCAATGAGTTTTGGAGGGTCTTTGCAAGTGAAAGCCCTCTTTCTTTAGCTTATAGGCCTAAGACAGAGGAGATCCTTTGTGGGGCCAGGATGAGGAATCTTGACACCCCCCTCCCCTGCCTGAGTTAAGTGTGCTTTCTATAGCTTTTTCTACTCCCTGTAAGCCCAGTCCCTACCTGGCTCAATCCACCTCCCAAACTTGTTTCTGTCTCCTCTCAGGAACAGTCTTCCAGTGTTTGGTATACAGTCGCTGCTGGGGATCTTCAGTTAGCTTGGTCTCCCCTGTCATACTTAGCCTTCCTGCTTCTGTGCCTCAGCTTTTTCTGTGGAGCTAACCTGGGCTGCCCTGGCTGCTTCCCTCTGCCCCTGCAAAAGCCTCCAGACCTGGGTCTTCAATTTTGTCTTCATCTTTGTCATCAAGCTTTGGTGTACTATGCCTTGCTTTTGTACGTGTGTGTGTGTGTGTGTGTGTGTGTGTGTATGTTCACTTCTGTGATCATAATTGGTACCATTTCCTGAGTGCCAGGTTAGTTGTCAGGTACTGTGTTGGGAGCATTCCATGCATCATTTCTCAGCTTCACAACAACCTGGAAAAAGAGGTTGTGTGATCCCATAACCAGATGAAGCCTGGGGTCCTCTCATGTTTAGAAATTTAGGATTGACTTGAATTCTTATTTGATGGTCATGAATATTCAAATTCCTTTGCAAGAGTTCCAGGAAGTCCCTAAAGACTTACCTTCTGCTGCATTTATTCAGGTTGTGGATCCTTGCTCAGTTTTTCAACCCTAAACATTCTGCTCTGTTCTTGTTCCAGGTGTAGAAATCAACCTGTTGTTTGGTTTACACTTATGTGCACGCCAAGATGTACATGCATGTGCATGTGTGTGTGTGTATGTGTGTGTGCACTTGTCCATTTTACTGAAAAGGGAGTGGACAGAGATGTGAGTTACACTTAGAAAGTCAAAAATACCCAAGAAAAAGCAAAAGCATTATTGATAGTTGCATACTAAATACTCTTGTCCCTATAAGCCCCCAGCCAGCCCACTGACTGGCAGCCTCAACCCCAGAGCCACTGCCTTCACACCATTTCTCATGCTCTCATTTTTTCTCTCCACTTCTATCTCTTTTCCAGGAATCCCAAATTCTTGCTCCCCCCCCCCCCCCAGGCATTTCTCATCCCTCTCCAGTCCCTGTTTTTCAGCTTAGGTCTAGCCCATCTTCAAACACCCAAACCCAGGCAAAAGCCTTCCTTTCTCAGAAGGAAGCTGTAAATAGTAATTTCTCTCTTCCATTATATTCTCATTTTACAGATGGGGAAGTGGACAGGCTCTGATAGGTAAAGTGGCTGTCTCATCCTTCCCTGTCTCCTACAACTGTGGATTCTCGTTCTTATGCCTGGCTTAATGGGTGTGCTGGCTCTGGAATGTGTCTAGGGTCAGAGTTGGGAGGGTCACCTGACCCCATAGGAGGGAGGCTTAGGAAGATAGAAATCCCAGATGCCTGGGTACCACCTAGGGCTAATTCATCAGGATCTTGGCAGTTGGAACCCAGCATAGGTATTCTTAAAAAGCTCCTCAGGTGCTCACGCTGCCGGGGCTGAGAAGTGCACCCTGGACAAGGGCTGACCTTGTCTCTTCTCAGCCATTGACCTGTGTGCTGAAGGGACCCATGGCTGTGAGCACCATTGCATCAATTCCCCGGGCTCCTATTTCTGTCGTTGCCGAGTTGGATTTGTACTTCAGCAAGACCAGAGGAGCTGCAGGGGTGAGTCAGCAAGGCCCCATTCCCCATTCCTCACCACTAGCATCCTGCACTCAGGCCTCTGATGGCTCCAATCAGAAACAACATCTTGCTTTTTTTTTTCCTTCCACCAGTCATTGACCACTGCAGCTTCGGGAATCACAGCTGCCAGCATGAATGTGTTAGCACCCTTGCGGGGCCACAGTGCCTTTGCAGGGAGGGTCATGTCCTGCTGCCTGATGGGAAGAGCTGTCAGGGTAAAGGGGGGTCCTCTGCATTTGTGGGGAGGAGTAGGAACCCAGGCTGGGGAGGTCCACTCTGACTCATCCTGCTCTGTCTGTCCTTTAAGTTAGGGACCTGTGCAATGGTGTGGATCATGGCTGCGAGTTCCAGTGTGTGAGCGAGGGCATCTCCTACCGCTGCCTGTGTCCCGAGGGGCGGCAGCTTCAGGCAGATGGCAAGAGCTGCAACCGTGAGCTATGGGTGGGGGCATTCTGTCTGCTCCTGCCCCGTCGCCCACATTCTGAGCATCCTTGCTTTGGCCGTGCTGTGGCCTAAGGATGTGGCATGAATGTGTGTGTTGGGGCAGCCTGCTGGAGGGTGTGCTGTGCCTGCCTCTGCTGCTTTCCCCTCAACCTGCTCTCCTGCTAATCCTCTTCCCAGGGTTAATTTCAATGTCCATATCTGACCAAAATCCTTTTGTGGCACACCAGTGGCTCTAGAATGGAGATCAAATGCCTTACTCATGAGTTGATCAAATGGTGGTCACAACCACATGAGTGGATAATGAACTCAAATTGCTGGGTAACGACCAGCATTAAAAAAAAAAAAGAATGGAAGAGAAAATAGTTTCCTGCCTGTAGAAAGAGTAAGTGTTTCACAAAGCTCATTTAGTTACATGTGAGTGTAAGAAGCGCTCACATATGATGTGAATCATGATGTATTATTATCATCATCTTTTTGTTTTTCCTGTGGGGTTTTTTACTGTGGTCAAAATCTTGAAACTTCGGTTGTAGCTCATCACAATTTAGCTTCAGCCAACTTATCAGCCTGACTTTTGCCACATGTGAACATTTTAGTCATACTAGGTCCTTCTTTTTTAATTAAGTTTTTTTGTTTTTGTTTTTGGTACCGGGGATTGAACTCGGGACCCTGCACTTTTGAGGCAGGCGGTGAAACCACTGAGCTAAATCCCCAGCTAGCCCTTTCTTGAATGTGTTTTGAGCTTGCCAGGCCTGAGTTCCCGTTCTGTCCCATGCCTTTGCACATGCTGCTCCCACTTTCTAGAATGTCTCTCTCTGCCTTCACAAACTCCCCAAGACTGTTTTATTCCACTCAGATTCCTCTGACAAAGTACCATAGACTGACTGGCTGTCTTCGGCAGTTTCATGTTCCTGTAACAAAATACTCAAGGCTGAGTATTTTATAAAGAAAAGAGATTTATTTAGGTCATAGTTCTGAAGGCCCGGGACTATGGCATTGGTACCTTCTTGGTTTCTGGTGAGGGCCTCATTGCTGATGGCTTCGTGTGGAGAGAAATTACTTTATCCTTCAGAACCTCAACTTAAAGAAAATGGGGACAATACTCAAGGTTACTGGGAGTATTGAGAATACAAATACAGCACCTTACCCAGTGCCTGGAACCCGGTAAACTATCAGTAAATGTTGTTATTATTATTATTATTATTATTACTACTAATACTGGTACAATGCCTAGAATCGTGTCTGATACATAGTAGTAGATATATAGTAGATACATAGTCTGATACATATCACTAAGTGATAACTATAGTGGTTATTATCGCTGTTGGCTATCTAGGTTACTTAAGAAGGTTGCTTTTAGCAGAGTGGTTTGTGCTAAGCACTAGTAAATGCCGAGGGCTATCAAGCAGATGCTTTGATAATGATGTCGGTTTAGCATATTGCTGGGCACAGCAAGGACTCAGCAAATGGCATCAGTTCTACAGAAGTCTTGGTGAATGAGTGACTAGATGGGTAGATGTCTACTGCTAGTCAAGGACCTGGCCTCTCCATCCGAGCCTTCTTGCCGGGCAGGGTGCCACGAAGGCCACGTGGACCTGGTTCTGCTCGTGGACGGCTCTAAGAGTGTGCGCCCACAGAACTTCGAGCTGGTGAAGCGCTTTGTAAATCAGATCGTGGACTTCCTGGATGTGTCCCCCGAGGGCACGCGCATCGGGCTGGTACAGTTCTCCAGCCGTGTGCGCACGGAGTTCCCACTGGGCCGCTACGGCACGGCCGCGGAGGTGAAGCAGGCGGTCCTGGCGGTGGAGTACATGGAGCGCGGAACCATGACCGGGTTGGCGCTGCGCCACATGGTGGAGCACAGCTTCTCCGAGGCGCAGGGCGCGCGGCCCCGAGCCCTCAAGGTGCCTCGAGTCGGCCTCGTCTTCACCGACGGCCGCTCCCAGGATGACATCTCGGTGTGGGCAGCTCGCGCCAAGCAGGAAGGTGAGTTATGCCCTGGACTTGCGGGGCAGGGGTTGGGATGGACGCAGGAAGGCAGCTTTCCCGAGGCTTTGGGCACCTGCTGAGTCTCTCTGTCCTGTAGGCATCGTCATGTACGCTGTGGGTGTGGGCAAGGCGGTGGAGGAGGAGCTGCGCGAGATCGCCTCGGAGCCCGCTGAGCTGCACGTGTCCTACTCCCCGGACTTCAGCACCATGACGCACCTGCTGGAGAACCTCAAAGGCAGCATCTGTCCGGGTGAACACATCTCTCTCAGGACTCCTCCTCTTCCCTCACTGCCTGTCTTCTGGTAGCGCCCCTTCCTACTCACCCCTCGCCACACCCCCCTTGTAGGGTTATAGCCAGCGGAGGCACTCACTAGACACAGCCGTGTTAAAGTGTGCTCTGTGGACCAGCAGCGAGTGGTCACCCGGTAGCTTCTTAGAACTCAACATTTCCAGTGCTTCCCAGACCTAATGCATCAACATTAGTGCTTTACCAAGACCCTCAGGTGATTGTTATGCATATAAAAGTAAGCACTAGACTAAGCTACCTGTCCCCCAAATTAATGGTGTTCAAAATAATTTGAGGAAACTGTCAAAGGTATGCCAACTTTAGCATTTGTAACTGGAGCCACAGCATTTAACCTCTGAGTGTGCTGGAATTTAACTTTGTGCACTTGGCAGAGCGGCAGGAGTGTTTTTCTTTTGGGTTGGTTTTTTGTACTGGGGTAGAACTCAGGACCTTGCACTTTCGAGGCAGGTGGTGGAACCGCTGAGCTAAATCCCCAGCCCGGAAGTGTGTTTTAAGTCTACCAAGACATGTACTTTTGGACAATGTGGCCCACAAATGCAACCCATCTGCTTCACGAGTCCTTACCTGAGGGAAATGGGAGAACTCCACCTGTGGAGGAACAGGAGATCCTGGGGTCAGGTGTACTGTACCTTATAGGTGATGTGGAAAATTTCTTGGGGGTAATTTTTACTGTAGGATCTTTAGACTCTAACCCAGGCATAAGATGTGACCCTTCTTTCAGATTATCAGGCCCCACCTGAGAAGGCATATGTTCAGCAGGGCGGGGCTGAGCCTGGCAAATCTGTGTATACAAATGTGTACACACACTTCTCTCCTCTCTACGCTATTCCTAATGATTAGCCAGGTACTTGGAAGACAATGGATTAGCTGTTCTCTCAGGGCCCTTGTTCTCTTACATTTCCTTTGGTGTGACTTTGGACAAGTCCCTTAACCTCCACCCTCACTTAACTTCCCTCTTTTGTAGCAGGAGAGGGTACTGCCTGCCCAAGATTGCCTCCAACTCCAGAATTGTAAGGGAAGTCTGGGCTCTGTGGTTGAAGTTCTTTACCAGTTGGCTATATGACCCTGGGCAGACCGTCTTCTCTAACCCGTGTCCATATCTATGAAGTTAGAAGTCTTTATGGGACTGATATTGATATCCTCAGCCACATGACAAACAGCAGCATTAGGGTACACACAAGACAGATTGAGAGATAACCTTTAAATCATAATAGCAGCTCTACGAAGGCAAAGTGCTGGGCATTGTGCTTATTACTTCCTTGCCTGTAATATTGATACAATTACAGAATTTCAGTGAATTTAAGATACTACCTATGGTAAGATTTGCCATTATTTTATTTATTGTTATAAAAAAACAGGTGCAAAATGTAATTGTAAGGCTCCCTTCCCCCAGATGTTCAAATGTGTAGGGAGAAAGGGTTGATTGTATTTCTCAAGTATTAATGGAGGGTTTTGTAAAACAAACTGCTGGGTTCCAACCCCAGATTTTCTGGTGCTTCTGGTCTGAGGTGGATTGGACGATTTGCATTTGTGATAAATTTCTAGGTGCTGCTGACGCTGCTGGTCCGAGGAGCACATTGTGCATTCCTGGTTTCCTGGAAACGTAGTAGGAAGTGTTTACGTGTGGGGGGGCATCGTCCTAGATCTGTGCTTTCCAATAAGATAGACAGTAGCTACAGTACATGTGGGTACTGAGTTAAAGTAAAATACAAATCGAGCTCTTCCGTTGAGCCAGTCATGTTTCAAGTGTTACATAGCCACACGTGGCTTGTAGTCATTGCATTGGACAGGGCAGGTGTAGAGTACTTCCATCGTTGCATCAAGTTTCATTTGGAGAGTGCATGGTGTGGTCCATGGGTGGAAGGAGCAGCAGCATCACTTGGGAGCTCATTGGAAACACATTCTCAGCTCCTTCCCCATTCTGAATCAGAATCTATGTTTTCACAAGCTCCCCTGATGATGCCGATGAGCATTAAGGTTTGAGAAACTCTCTTGAAAGTCATTGAATCCTCACAACCACCAGTGGGTCGGGTCTCTCGTTATTCTCATTGCGCAGATGAGGAAACAGGCTTGGAGAGATTGAACCCCAGGCCCAGTGGAGGTGACTCAGAGGGCCAATGTAAGGGCCAGCTCGGCCTCCTGCAGCTTCTCAGTCTGTTCGCTTCCTCCTGCAGAGGAGAGCGTGGGCGCCGGGACAGAACTTCGGAGCCTTTGCGAGTGCGAAAGCCTCGTCGAGTTCCAGGACCGCACGCTGGGGGCGCTCGAGAGCCTGACGCAGAACCATATCCTTTGGGGCGGAGGCGCCGACTGGAGGGAAGGGGCCGGGACCCCCACCCCGACAGCTTCCTTAACCACTTACTGGCCCAGGTGACCGCGCGCCTGGAGGATCTGGAGAACCAGCTGGCCAACCGGAAGTGAGGGTCGCGGGTGGCCTGGACCCGGTGGGGACGCCCCGCGGGGCAGAGTCCCTGGCCTGGACGGTCGGGGGAGGCGCTGGCGGGCTCCCCGCGCTGCGCTGAGCTGGCCTCGCCTGGACCCGGGGCCAGACTCCGGGGACGAGGGGACGGGCGGTGTCCGGGCGGGCGACTGACTGCTGGACCCTCACGCCCTCGCCGCGTGCTGCGCTCAGTTCTTTGTTGGATTTCCTTTTGTTTTCTTTTTCTTAAAAAAACAAAACTGGTTTCCATGGGGTCGTTCTGTGGGCCGTGCGGCGCTGCCAGAGGGGAGGGGAGGCCAGACGGGGCGCGCTCCATCGGCGCCCGGGTGGCGTCTCCTTGGAGAAAGGCTCATTGTGCGGGGGATCGCGCTGGGGAGCTGGGGAGGCACTACTTCCCCCTTCTTGTTTATTCAGCCAAGAACAGATGGCTTCTTATGCAGGATACATGTGTGTTCGTGTGTGTGTGTGTGTGTGTGTGTGTGTGTGTGTGTGTGTGTGTGTGTGTAGGGGATGTGTCCCAAGGGGAAGCCTGGGGGTCTGAGCACGTCTCCATCTCCCGCCCCCCCCCCCATGAACATCTTCCTGGAGCAGTGCCCCCGAATCTGGCCCAAAAGCTGTGGGAGAGTTGGTGCAAAAGTGGGAGACAGTGATTGAACCCCTAAATGGATGAAGTGGGGGCAAATAGATGAGTTTTGTCCAGATTTTATCTCCCTCCTGCAATAGGCAGGAAGAGAAGGAGGTATTAACTAGGACCCTGGGATCAGCCTGTGGCTGTCCCTCTGCCACACTCCCCTCCCTTCAAGAAACAAAACAAATTTCTGTGTCAGTAAAGAACACCAGCTGGTACCATTCCTCAGGTGCATGCAAGAAACTGCAAAGTTTAAAATGCTTCCAGTTCTACAGTGGTTTTAGGCAAATTACTGTGGATTTGTTCCCTCATTGCTAAAGTGTAGATTAACTTGTTACTCTCAAGAGTAATGACACTGAGGAAGATCTTCTAAGGTATCTGGCAATGTGTGTGGTACGTATTAGGCCTTCAATTATCATTCTTATTAATTATTAGCCATTAATCATTTTACAGTAATAGCTAACATATTTAGTTTGGGGCATTATTTTAAGTGACTTGCAGGTATGGTATTTTCATTTTATCCTCATTGTGACTTTGTGAGATTAATGCCTTTAAGCCAGGCACAGTGGTGCACATCTGTAATTCCAGCACTCTGGGAGGCTGAGGTAGGAGGATTGTAAGTTTGAGTCCAACCTGGGGCAATTTAGTGAGACTCTGTCTCAAAGTAAAAACTAAAATAAAAGGGCTGGAGATGTAGCTCAGCGTGAAGGCTTTGGGTTCAATCCCTGGTACTGGGGTCAAAAAGTCATTGCCTTTAACATTCCCATTTTTAGATGTGGAAACAGAGGCATAGAGCAGCTAACTTTCCCAAAGTCACATAACTAGCAAGAAGCTGAACCAGGTGTATTAATTTCCTATGGCTGCTAACACAAATTGCCACAAATCAGGGAGTATAAATATAGTACAACTCCTACCTTATAGTTCTGGAAGCCAGAAGTCTAAGATGGGTTCACAGGGTTGTATTCCTTCTGGAGGCATCTGTTTCCTTGTCTTTCCCTGTTTCTGGAGGCTATCTGAATTCCTTGGCTTATGGCCCCTCAACCCTTCAACCTCTGCTTCATCATCACATTCCTTTCTCTGACTCTAGCCCTTCTGTCTCTATCTTAGAAGGACCTGTGAATATATTGTGATGATCTGAATAATCACAGATAACTTCCCTGTTTCAAACTTTCATGTAATGACATCTACAAAGTCCCTTTTGGCATGTAAAATGACAGGCTCTTAGGGATTAGGATGCAGACATCTTGGGAGAGGGACTTATTCTGCTTAGCACACAGGGTTGAAGCCAGGTTGGCTGACTCTGGATGCCTCCTGCACCTGGCTCCTTGGTAGGCTGGGTGAGGAAGGAGGCACCTGACTGAGAAAAGCCCATGAGCTAGGGGAGCTTAGGACTGGAGGGGACAGTGTCCACCTGACTGTAACTACAGCAGAAAGACGGGGCTTCAGAAAAGAGGATGGAGCAATAGGCAGGTAAGGAGAGAGAAATCCAGGAGGAGATGATCTTTGAGCTAAGCTGGAAACAATGGCTGGAATTTTAATAGGGCGGCCATGAAGGATTATACAGGTGAGTGAAGAATGAGTGTGTATGGGCAGGAATGACTTGAGCATGCTACTGAGGGTGTTCAAGATCTTACCTGGACACGAGGGTCAGATGCGCTGATGTGCTGTGGATAGCACCTGGCAGGTAACCTCATCTTGCCCAACCCTTTCATTTTATAGTTGGGGAAATTGAGGCCTAGAGGACAGAATTGGTTGCTCACATAGTGAGAAAATACCAGCTGTACCGGGCAAAAGCACGAGGTGGGATATCAGACAGGAACAGGGTACTGCACCGACTGAGGGCATTGAGGGAGGGCAAAGGCCAGGCTCCTTCCCTCCCGGCGGCTGGGCAGCACGGCCTTCTCTAGGATTTTTCTCCCCTCCTCTTTTCTCCTGCAATCTCACTAGCGGCCGCTGGATGGCACCCAGAGCTCTGATTTGGAGCTGGGTCCCAGAGCTCCAGCAGACATCTGGCACTGACTGCTCTGAGACGTCCCGGCTCTACAAAACTACCCGCTCCATTTACACCAAAGATTTTAGAGTAAAGAGCTCAGTGGACCAGAGTGGGAGTTCGGGATGGAGATGGGGCTAGGAAGTGAGAAGACAGACTGGTTTCCTCAAAACCAAGCCTGTCCTTGAAACGTTTCAGAGGGGGAGGTAACAGCAACTTGGCCTCCAGTACCTTGTGGGACCAGTAACTTCTGTGTGTCTCTCCTAGGGGTATTTGTACTTTACAAGAAGCCAGGGAGGAAGAGAGCAAAGGTAGATCCAAAGGGAGAACTGTTCATAGAGGGATTTCAGGCAGCCAGGTCTATCTATATACGTGGACTAAACTCATCCTGTTTCAGGTACTGTGCTCACCTCTTCACCCTGTATATCCCATGCAATTCTCAAGTCTATACTGTGAGGTTAGAATAATCACTTTCACTTGACAGCAGAGGCAAGTGAGGTCAGAGAGGGGATGGGAGGTGCCCAAAACCACGCAGTGAACTCCTTGATGTCCATCCAGGGTTCTTCCCTGGATAGAAGGCTCAGAAATGGACAAAGTGTTTGGGCTGAAAGTGAAGACCTTCTCTTGACCCAATATCAGCTACCTAGGGGCTGAGGGTCTAGAAGGAGAGAGAGGATTTCGGGAAAGACTGGCATGAGCTTGGGAGCCCTTTGATCCTGGATTCAGCTGAATCCACAAGGGCAGGAGGAGAAAGGGGGGTGGAGAACAGTTGATGGATGAATGGAGGAACAATATGATGATAACAGCATTGATAACCTCAGTGGCTAGTGCTTGGGGCAATTCACAAGGCCATTTATAAGTCATCAGAGCCACACAATCATCCTGGGAGGGAGACAGGCAATGTGCCTGTTGCTATTGTATAGAAGGGGAAGCTCAGGCTACAGAGGGAGAGTAGCTTGCTCAAAATGACATGTCAAACTACTCTCAGTGCTGGACAGGGCCCAGGTTCCTGGTTCCCAGCCTGGCATCTCACTATCTCACATGGGCCACATCTGTGGCTGGCCAGAGAGAATGGGGGCTTGATCAGAGCTGAAGCTCAGTCATACCTCTTCTCCAGTTTCAGGTTGACTGCCAAGCAGAAGTTTGGATTGGAGGCTTGGGATATCAGAGGACAGAGGAATCTGGTTAGAGTTGGGGGCAAACTCCAAATCAGGCATGTATCCTCCAGGCTTCCTGACTCCTCATGCTGACTGGCCTGTGGCTGATCCTGCCCCAGAATCGTGCACGTGTGTGTGTGTGTGTGTGTGTGTGTGTGTGAGATACCATCTCTCTTGGAAAAGGGCCTCATGCTGGCTCCTCTCTATGCCCTCCCTCTTAGCCTGGCTCAGGCTTAGCAGGCCCTCTGTTCAAAGAAAGCAAACCTCCTTTGTAAATAATTCCCACTGAGCAACTCCTGTGAGCCAGGTTCTGTGCTGGAATTTCCACCTCTGTCGTTTTCATTTGTCATTCCATTTTCGTTTGATCTCAACCCTTACCTGTGGGTTTTATGTTTCCCAGTACCTTCCCATCCTCATCTTTAAAATGAGTAGTAGGTCAGAATTGAAACTGCTTTTTAAGTTCATCAGAGAAAGAGTTCTGTGGCTTTTAGATGGGAAAGTATAGCTATATCCCCTCACTTTTGCCATCTATAAAGCAGAAGCCTACATATTATTTATTTTAAAAGAAATTTTAAAAATTAAAAAAAAATTTGGTTCATATTAATTGTACAAAATATTGTGTTTCATTGTGGCATTTTTATACATGCATATAAAGTATTTTGATCCTGTTGTCTCTTCTATTACCCTCATTTACACCTCACCCCCCATTTCCCTTATTCCATTTCTCTTGTGTAATAATAGTCTTCCTTCTACTTTCATGTCATCTTTGTTTTTTGGTATTTTATTCTTTTAGATTCCAAATATTAGGGAAAACATGATACTCATTTTTCGAAGTCTGGCATATTTTGTTCAACATGATCTCCAGTTCCATCTATTTACCTGCAAATGACATTTTTTTCTTCTTTATGGCCACATAATATTCTGTTGTGCATATATACCACATTTTCTTTATATGTTTATCTGTTGATGGGCATCTAGACTGGTTCCATATCTTAGCTATTGTGAATTGTGCTGCAGTAAACATGGATAGGTAGGTATTCCTATAGTTGCTGATTTTAATTCCTTTGGGTGTATCCCAAGCAGTGGGATATCTGAGTCATATGACAGTTCTATTTTAACTTTGAGGAACCTCCACACTGATTTTCATAGTGGCTGTGCTAATTTACATTCCCATCAGCAGTGTAGAAAAGTTCCTATCCCCCATATCCTTGTCAACATTTATTGTTTTTTGAGGGTAGTCATTCTGACTGGGGTGAGAATTCATTTGCCCACTTAAC